TGAACTGAATACATTTACATTGTTTTTTATAAATATCTACTAATTATTTTAATTGCAAAGTTTAATTCTTAGAGATTAAATTGATATTTACAGGAATAAAACAAATGTAAAATTCATTTCTATCTATATACTACTGAAGAAAGTTTAATATGCTAATCATGGATTTTAAATTGAGGGCAGAATCTACAGTAATGAAATCTATTGGGACAAGGTCAGAATGAAGGCAAATTATGAAATTGAGACAGCCTTGCTTAATAGATGTGAATATACACAATTGCTATTATTTTCATTTTTTTCAAAGGAATATGTTTAAAACAAAATAGACCAGAACAGCTGATTAGCTAATAAAAACATCTCCTCTCAAATGACTGTTTTGCTCCTCAATGGCAATTGGTTTTAATAATTTATCTTTATTTTTTATGGTGATTGTACCTTTAATATTTGTACTATGCTATGTAGATTTATAACTTTAGAAATTGTCTACTGGCTTTCAATTTTGATAAATGAATTCTTTTATTTCAAGAATTCACTCTCTCAATTCTTTTCCCTGACCCCTTCATGTGAGTGAAAGTCACTCAGTCGTGTCCAACTATTTGTGACCCTGTGGATTGTAGCCCACCAGGCTCCTCTCTGTCCATGGAATTCTCCAGGCAAGAATACTAAAGTGGGTAGCCATTTCCTTCTCCAGGAGATCTTTCCCACCCAGAGATTGAACCTGGGTCTCCTGCCTTGAAGGCAGATTCTTTACCAGCTGAGCCAGCAGGGAAAACCCATCATACAAACCTTTATTTCTTATTGTCACAGCCATGTATCTCTGTAAAAAAAATACAATGTTTAATTTTGTATTGGAGTGTAGCCAATTAACAATGTTGTGATGGTTTTAGGTGGTCCACAAAGGGACTCAGCCATGCATATACATGTATCTGTTTGCCTCCAAACTTCTCTCCCATCCAGGCTGCCAGTAACATTGACCAGAGTTCCCTGTGCTATACAGTAGCTCCCTATAGCCATGTATCTCAAAATTCTCCACTTCCTCCTATTTCTTCTGTCTTCCCTCCCCCTGTCTCTTAATCTCTGTAATTTGATCCTTTCCTTTTATCCTGCTACTATTTCAATATTATGAATAGCATGTCTATGCACCATAGCCATAATTATTTCATGATTGTACCACTGTTTGATTTTAAGAGTGAATTTTTTAAATGCATTTTACTTATCACATTATTATTGCATAATGATTAATTTCAGTGAAGTGACTGCAAATCTTTCTCTGCATCTCCACTAAGCAATTCAAAAGACAACATTCTTAGCATAAATTTCAGATCAAATACTATTACTATGTCTCACTAATTGTTCAGTCATGCCAAATGTGTGTTTGCCCCACATTTGAAAAAGGTATTCCTGTATTTGCTTTTGCTCTTGTTTGTCTAGTTCCCATTCTTCTTTCCTTATTTTTTAAAATATCATAACCTCCATATTTTTGGATTGTCTTATTGCATATTCTGTGGCGTGTCCTGTTCTCTCACTGTCCTTCTTCTCAGGGTTACTAGTCTTCCAAGCTCATTTTGCACTAGCAGTTTGCAAAAACTGTTGTAACAATCAGTCTGGAACACATTACTGCTCTTGGGAGGATTGTGCACTGTTAGCCAGATTCCATTTGTCAGTTTTTAGTCACTGCTTTCTTTTGCTGCCTTGTTATTTTTCAGATAGTACTATGTTTGTGAATCAGTTATTTTGGATATATCTGGTGATGAAGGAGATCTGATTCAGGCTATCAGGATAAAGAATCTTTGGTCGTGAAGCACACCCAAAAGTCAATGTGCATCAAATTTCTGGGACTGGATCAGTGGATCAGAAACTGAGAACATGAAGCTATTCTTATTCAGGTCAGATGAAAACCAAATATTTGACATACTTCTCATTGTCAAATTTGTCGAGGAAGTCAGAAGTTGAAAATGAGGAACATAATATGAAGCAATTGAAAAGAAACGGGAAATTTAAAAGGAACTGAAACCTTTGAAATTGAAGAGTAAGTAACCTTTGACTTTTAGACTTCAGAAACTGGTAGTTTCTGACAAAAGGTAGTAGGTATTACAGTATTAAATTAGCATGTTTTCATAGGACAATATTTTTGTCATTGCTATTCTCTGGTTGTTTTAAATGACAACCCCACAGTGAAGTCATCCATAAATCCTCTATTTAGCATAAATCCTCCTTTCTCTGTCACACTACCCTACTTTATTTCTATTCATAGTATTTTTCACTACCTTATATTATATTGCTTATTCATGGATACTATATAAAATATCAATATAAGCTATATAGTTACAAATAAATACACAAAGCATAGAATGTAAACTACCTTAAGGAAAAAAAAAATGCTTCTATCAGATGCTCTGGAATATTGCTTAGCATACAGTGGGTACTCAATCTGTTGAATAAAGGAAAGAATAAATGGATAAATAAACAAATGTTTCTGAATCCCCAAGGAAAAATATTTATTAAAATTTTCAAAGTTATATAGGCAGATCTTGTTTAGTCTCTAAGTTGTGCCTGACTCTTTGCAACGCTATGGACAGTAGCTGCTCTGTCCATGGGAATTCCCTGGCAAGCTTACTGAAGTGGGTCGCCATTTCCTCCTCCAGGAGATCTTCCCAATCCAGGGATCAAATTCACGTCTCCTACTTGGCAGGTGGATATTTTACTGCTGAGTCACCTGGGAATTGGCCGAACCCAGTTATAAAATAAAATACGTTGCATTTGTATTTATGGAGAGAAAGTTTATTATGATATGATTAGACTAGGATGAATATCTTTATCTGGGAGAAGAGATTTGATCCTTTGAAAATTTAGGAAGTCAACTACTATTCAAGTTTTCGGTCAATTAGAATAGTGAATGAGTTTTTCTCAGGTAGTAGTGTTTGTTCTTATTCAGTTGCTCAGTCGTGTCTGACTCTTTGAGACCCCATGGATTGCAGCACACCAGGATTCCCTATCTTTCACTATCTCCTGGTGTTTGCTCAAACTCATGTCCATTGAATGAATGATGCCATCCAACCATCTCATCCTCTGTCACCCCCTTTTCCTCTTGCCCTTAATCTTTCCCAACATCAGGATCTTTTCCAATGAGTTGAGTCTTCACATCAGGTGGCCAAAGTATTGGAGTTTCAGCTTCAGCACCAGTCCTTCCAATGTATATTCAGGGTTGTTTTTTTTAGGATTGACTGGTTTTATGTCCTTGCTGTCCAAGGGACTCTCAAGAGTCTTCTCCAACATCACAGTTCAAAAGCATTAATTCTTTAGCACTCAGCCTTCTTTATGGTCCAACTCTCACATCCATACATGACTACTGAAAAAAGCCACAGCTTTGACTATACTTGAGAACATACATTTAGGAGGATGGTGGAAACACCTATTGCTCCAGAGTGAATTCAAACCAGTGAAAATTCTGGGCTTCAGGATAAAAGTTTTCTGGCTTTCCCTTTATATCAAGGTTTACATATCAGAACATGGTTTTCATATATACACTAACATATATATGTACATGTGCAAATATTGTCTTTCTTAACAACACATGAAATATTCCTTAACTTTTACCTTTATAGTGTTTTTATCTACCCCAGACATCATACTCCTTAAATATGTTTTCTGTTGAGAAGTGCAAAACATCAGCTTGGCTTCTGATCTTATTATCTAAATGGTCAAGAATGTCAACTTTTCCTTTTGTCCAATATTTAACTCTTTAATCATTTCTCACATGTATAAACTGACAACATGATGAGCATGCAAGTGCATAGATCATTGTCTAATCTCTGCATCGTCTAAACAATGAGACTACTGGCTCAAAGCAAATGTATGTTTTAAGATCTCAGAGAAGCATTATATTCACTCTTGGAAGGAGAGGTAGAATAAGAACATCATATGCATTTAGAAAAACAGAAACTTTAGGTTCATCTGTTCAGTATTTAATAAATGAGAGAAATGAGACCTAGAGACCTCCCTAGTTTTCTTAATATTAAATAAAACACTAACGCTCATGCTACCTACATATTCCCTCCCCATCCCTGTCTCCACCCCAACTCCTGGTGGATTTTCTCCCCTCTATCATGAAGAAAAATTGACTGTATTCATACCTGATTGCAATGAGTTCTGAGTATTTCTTATTGGATCTGAACCATTCTGTTTTTAAAAATGTTTCAAACTCTATAGGTTAAAGCAATTTCCTTTTTCCCTGAGTCAATTTTCAGAACACTTTGCTAAATTTACTCCTTACAGTTCTTTTTTTCTTTCTCTTAAATTCTGTGGAAGGTATCTTTTATTTATTGCACAATGTTCCAATCTTTCTTGAAAGTAAATAAAAAGGAGGATGGAGTACAATATTTAGTGTAGTTCATTGTAGTCCTTTTCTTCTTGATTTTTGTTTTAATCCATTAATATTTTGCTTTTAAGTTCTCAGGAATCTGCAATCCACAAAAAAATCAAGTAAAAATGGAAGGAAAAAAATTTGATTTGAATTAACTCAACTGTGGTTTTCTGGGAGTCAGCAATGGGTTATGTACTTCATGCAATTCTAACAGAGTTCTCACAGGCATGTGCTTTCTAAGAACTGATTATACATGCAGAAATAAATACATGTTTATCTGTATTTCCATAGGGTAGTGTTGAGTCTGGAGATCCAGATGTTTTCCCCTCTAGTTGAAAAATAAAAGATTGTTTGTATTTAAAACCCACATTTTTCTCTTAGTCATTTCTTCAATTTGGTGTTTTAGAGGAGGAAGTTATAAAAAGTGAGATAAGAGAGATGGACAGAGGTGGGAATAGTGCAGTTATGAAATTCTCAGTGGAACAGTTCTGTTTTCTGACACCACTTCTTTTGCTTGGTCTTTACAAAGATAGATCAGTCAACTCAGTCCCTGCATACACAGGCCATCTAAGAGTGGCTTCTGTGAGTTTAAGGTGATACGCACAGCACACTGGGTGACTGAACTGTGCTTTGTTCAGTAATGTCTGAAGAAGTGACCTATGCAACTCTCAAATTTTCAAATCCTAAGACAAAGGAATCCCAGGAAAGCCACAGTCTCAAGAGAACAGGTAAGATTCTCCTTGAGGATCAAAAAGACCAGAGAAGAGGTTATTCAGCTATACTGCTGGGTTCTCCTGTCTTCAATTCAAAGCTGTTAGTCCCTTCTGGGATTTAAATTCTGGAGAACTAGTCCATAGATCAGTCACTATGCCAGAGCCTAGTTATGTCTATCTTATTTAGTTTGAAAGACCATCACTGGGGCTTCCTGATGGCTCAATGGTAGAGAATCAGTCTGCCAATGCAGGAGACTCAGGAAACATGGGTTTGATCTCTGCATTGGAAAGATCCCCTGGAGAAAGAAATGGAAATCCACTCCACTGTTCTTCTCTGGGAAATCCCAAGGACAGAGGAGCTTGCTGGGCTATAGTCCATGGGGTCGCATAAGAGTCAGACTTGGTTTAATGAATAAACGATGACAACAACAAAGTTCATCATAGTATGTGAGAAAAAACTGTGGTCTAAACCTCTGGAAATTCAGATTGTTGTTGCTACCAAAATAACATTTCTTATATTTTTTAGACATTTTAGGATGATTTTACATACAGGCTATTAGAGGAAGAAAAAGACAGCAATAGTGTGAACATAGCTATCCAGTATTTTTATTTATTTGCTAGAAGATAAGAAATAGGTATATGCTATGAGTTTCATAGGATCATGGGACACCCAGTCAGTGATTATACATTAAACATTTATTTCTTTCTGGGAAGGAATAAGACTGAAGTCTCCTTATCTCAGCATAATAGAATTGCAGTCTTCTTTATCCAGCAATTTAATTCTCAGACAGTTAATAACAATGAAGCAGTAGGAAGATATTTTTTTGAAACATGAAAGTCATATTCACTGAAATTTCTTTATTGCAATGAGATATTTTATATTTAAATAATGAAGTAAAAACCCTCTATGTGAACAAATCTCTGATTAGAGGCATCAGGTTAGTGGACCACGTTTTAGGTACTAGCTTCCCTCCAAAGAGTCATTTTCTCTGTCTCTATAACATCTGATGAAAGAACTGCATGTATTTGGGAAAAATACTACATCTTCATCAAACAACTAACACCATAGGCCACTGACTCAAGGTATCTGTAAAATTGGAGATGCAATTTATGTTCTGCTGTTAAGTCGCTTCAGTTGTGTCTGACTCTTTGCGACCCTATGAACTGTGTAGCGTGCCAGGCTCCTCTGTTCGTGGAATTTTCCAGGCAAGAGAACTGAAGAGGGTTGACATGCCCTCCTTCAAGGCATCTTCCCAACCCAGGGATCGAACCCACTTCTCTTATGTCTCCTGCATTGGCAGGTGGGTATTTTACCATTAGTACCACCTGGGAAGCCCTTATGTTCTGCTACGTACTTTCTAATGTGTATTTCCTTATGTAACAATTTTATCCTTTTCTATACATCTGAGTAAACAGAGGATGAGATGCTTGGATGGCATCACTGACTCAATGGACATGAGTTTGAGTAAGCTCTAGGAGTTGGTGATGGACAGGGAAGCCTGGCATGCTGCAGTTCATGGGGTCGCAAAGAGTTGGACATGACTGAGTGACTGAACTGAACAGAAACTGTTTCAATTTTATTTTTATAAAAGGTCACATCATGTTTGTCTTCTGGAAAAATCTATCATCAGAATCAGAATCAAGTCAGGAACACAGGAGTACCTGGATAATTAGAAGGCAAAAAAGATTATACAGAAAAGAATGAATTTTAAAAAAACATTGCCACTGTTTCTCTTTCCTGAAAAAGATAGCCATGAAACTCCTGACTTGGAGCTGGGCGGTGAAGCTGAAACTGGAGCAGGGAGCGTCATGGGCATAGCTGAGGCGACTGAGAGCAGAACTGTGAGAGGTGAGACCTACTGGAGCAAGGAGAAAAGAAGGACCTAGTGGGAGATGTTGTGGCAGAAAAAAATAAAGATTTCCTTTGATAATAAAAGATATTTTCTGCAGAGGTTGTGGAAGAAAGGGAACTCTACTAATTGTGGGAGGGAATGTAAATTGATGCAGCCATGATGGAAAATGGTATGGCAGTTCCTTAAAAAGTAAAAACAGGGCTACCATATGATCCAGCAATCCAACTTCTGGACATATATCTGGAGAAAATCATAATTCGAAAAGATACATGTAACCCCAATGTTCATAGCAATATTTACAATAGTCAAGACATATTAGCAACCTAAATGTCCACTGAAAGATAAATAAATAAAGAAAATATGGTATGGGTATATATATATATATATAGATATATAGATATAGATATATAGATAATGGAATACTACTAAGCCATAAAAATAATAAAATACTGCCATTTGCAGCAAAATGGATGGACCTAGAGATTATAATACTAAGTGAAGTAAGTCAGACAAAGACATATACCATATATTACCTGTACGTGGAATCTGAAAAATGAAACAAAAAGAACTTAGTTACAAAACAGAAACAGACTCACAGCCATGGAAAACAAACTTATGGCTACCAAAGGGCAAAGGGAGGAAAGAATAAATTTGGAACTTAAGATTGACATATGTACACTACTATATATAAAATAGATAACCAACAAGAACCACTGTATGGCACAGGGAATTCTACTCAATATCTTGTAATAACTTATAATGGAAAAGAATCTTAATATCTATATACATGCATATATACATGTGTATATATACTTATATATATACATACATATATAACCAGAAACCAACACAGCATTGTAAATCAACTATGCTTCGACAAAAAATAAAATAAAAGACAAAAATTTTTTGAGAAAAGAAGGAACACAAACCAAAGGTGATAAACTCATGACTTTTAATTATGGGGAATCAGCTCTTTTTAATTATTTTCTCCATCCATCCCCCCAGAGTATTCATGTACTTTTCTGAATCTTTCCAACTTTTATAATATTAAACCTCATTGGCTTTTTCCCTCCCATTTTTCATCATTTTATCTTTTATTATATTTCATGGATGATTTTCTTAAATTATCTTTTTCCATTAAATACATTTCTGGTATTATTTTATTTTCAATGAACTTCTGCTATTGTTTTCTAAAGGCTCTTTCTATGGCATCCTATTCTTATATGTGGATGCAAAATTGTATCTTACTTCTCTGATGGTTTTAAAAATTGTACTTTCAAGTCAAATTTATAATTTAGATACAAAATAATATGCCCACTTAAGCATTTGGTTGACTGGACTTAAAACTATATACCCATACAACCAACCAAAATTAAGATTTATAATATTTCTGTCACCACAAGAAGACAACTTGTGTGCCTCCATCTTGTCCTCACCACCAATCTTAGTTTTAGCCCCAGCTAATCAGAATGCTTTACTTTCTGTCATTCTAGACTATTCTGTTAAGTCTAGAGGTTTTATGTAGTAGTAGCAGTGTAGTTGCTCAGTTGTGTCTGACTCTGCGACTCCACGGACCCTAGCCTGCCAGGTTCCTCTATCCATGGGATTCTCTAGGCAGGAATACTGGAGTGGATTGCCATTTCTTTCTCCAGGGGATCTTCCCAACCCTAGGGATTGAACCTGGTCTCCCACATTGCATGCAAATTCTTTACCATCTGAGTCACCAGGGAAGAGTTTTTATATAAATAGTTTCAAATAATATGCGATGATTGACTGTGACTAGCTCTTTCAATAAATATGTTTTTGGGATTCATCTGTGTTCTATGCATTGGCAGTGAATTTCTTTCCATGGCTGAACAATATTCCAGTGTGTGACTACACCATACCATGTTAGCTCATTTATCTGTAGATGAATATTTCAGTTGCTTCCAGTTTGGAGCTAGTATGAATAAAGCTGATAGATATACAAGTCTTTGTAGAGAGCTATTTTTAGAAATTTTTGAAGGAAAATAACTAAGAGTAGAAGCCTGGGTTGAATGGCTTGTGTTTACTGTATAAGAAACTGACAAAATTGTTTTCTACATTTATATACCTCCATGCCTTATAAGGTCTTCCCTGGTGGCTCAAATGGTAAAGAATCTGCGTGCAATGAGGGAGACCTGGGTTTAATCCCTAGGTCAGGAAGATCCCCTAGAGAAGGAAATGGCAACCCACTTCTGTATTCTTGCCTGGAGAATTCCATGGACAGAGGAGCCTAGCGAATCTATGGGATCGCAAAGAGTCGGACGTGACTGAGTGACTAACACAGTCATATAAGAGAGTCTGTTTATTTACGGAGTTTTTGAACTGTTTTCATTGCATTATTTCTGCTTCCCCTAAATTCTTGTTGTCTGTGTTTTCTGTTTCTTTAGCGTTATATTGGCTGCTTTCTTCAAATATCAAATGATCCTTGGTTGTCTATACTCACTTAAGTGTGTGGTACTAAACTGATTTAATGAGAGCTTGTGTAGGTGAGATGGACTTGCTAAATGGTAGCATTTATCAGTCAGTTCAGTTCAGTTGCTCAGTCATGTGTGACTCTTTGTGACCCCATGGACTTCAGCATGCCATACTTCCCTGTACACCACCAACTCCTGGAGCTTTCTCAAACTCATGCCCATTGAGTCAGTGATACCATCCAACCAGCTCATCCTCTGTCATCCCCTTCTCCTCCTGCCTTCAATTTTTCCCAGCATCAGGGTCTTTTCCAGTGAGTCAGTTCTTCACATCAGGTGGCTAAAGTATTAGAGTTTCAGCATCAGTTCTTCCAATGAATATTCAGGACTGATTTCCTTAGGATTGACTTGTTGGATCTCCTTTGCAGCAAGAGTCTTCTCCAACACCACAGTTCAAGAGCATCAAATCTTTGGTGCTCAGCTTTCTTTATAGTCCAACTCTCACATCCATATATGACAAGTGGAAAAAACATAGCTTTGACTAGTTGGACCTTTGTGGGCAAAGTAATGTCTCTGCTTTTTAATATGCTGTCTAGGTGGTCATAGCTTTTCTTCCAAGGACCAAGCATCTTTTAATTTCATGGCTGCAGTCACCATCTGCAGTGATTTTGGAGCCCAAGAAATAAAGTCTGTCACTGATTCCATTGTTTTCCCATTTATTTGCCATGAAGTGATGAACTGCAGTAGCATTCATGAACTGGAGCAATTCACTGAGAAACCCCATTTTTGATATTTGAATTTTTCCCCTTCTTGAGCCAGTTGACTATTCTGGAGTTGAAGGAATCTTCCAGTACTCTGCCCTGGGCGTTCTTCTGTTATAATGGGTAAGAGAAAGTAACTATTGTACAAAGTGGAGAAAAAACTATGTAGGAGGGAATACCTATATCTTACATCAACTTTCGGGCATTTTTTCAGTTTTCAGACTCACCCACACCTCCACTTGGAAAGATAAAACACCAGGAGCCTTTAGGGTTCTTACGCGAGAGTCAGCTCACTTTTGTTTCCTCACTACTGACTTTGCTTCAGTTTCTAAGTGCCTATGAAGTTAGTAATAACTTTTGTATCTGTTACCTACCTTCCCAAAGGCCATTTCTATGGTCTCCTTTCTTTGTTATTATGAATCTATATGCCTTCTTTAACTACTTTCTATATTTTATTGGAGTTTGAAGAGAAAATCAAGGTAAAGGGATGATGCATCTATAACTGTTCATTTCAGACTGATTTTAATTAGCATTTCAATCAGCTAAAATGCAGTTTCATTCTGCCTTTTTTTCCCCATTTCCTACTGGCAAATACCTAAGCCCATGTAAGGAGCTACTGTTGGGGCTAGCAACCAGGCAGCGGGTTGATGGTATGTACTCCAAACTCTTATGGGGTGCCAATGAAGAAAAGATTTGTGTACCACTGCCCTCATTAAGAGCCTGAAGATTCACAAATAAAAGGCTTAGATTTAGGTCTCTCTGGTGCCTAGGAAGGATCCAGTCTCTTAAGATTTATTAGGCTGCGTAGAAAAAAGATGGTGCCAACTTTCTTATGTGGTCCTGGAAGGACTTGCTTATCTTTTGGGCCTCTGAGGGTTAGTGTGGAAACTAAATAAGAATGCAGAAAAGGTCCTCTATAATCCTAAATCATAGAAAGCCTCAGACTTTGCATCTGAGAAGACAGTGAACCAGGTTTCTTCTTATATGGGAAATAAAATGAAGAACTTGTTTTCTGGCATTCCACTGGCACTTAGTGAAAGAAACACCTGTGCATTCCATCACACATAGATTTGATGCCTTTCAAAGTGACTTCCCTGGTGGCTCAGATGGTAAAGCATCTGCCTACAATGTGGGAGACCCGGGTTTGATCCCTGGGTGGGGAAGACCCTCTGGAGAAGGGAATGGCAACCCACTCCAGTATTCTTGCCTGGAAAATACCATGGACGGAGGAGCCTGGTAGGCTACAGTCCATGGGGTCGCAAAGAGTCGGACACGACTGAGCGACTTCACACACACAAAGTACTCAAAAGCTTGGTATCAAATCTTAAAAGTCAGTAAAGCCAAGGGAAAACAAATAAAAGTTACTAATTTTATGGAACCCAGAACCTGGATGAGGAAAGAAAAAGCCCAACAAGCAGCTCCAAGTAAAAGAGAATCCCTACAAGAGAAAGATAATCAAACTAATTTATGATATTAAATTATGGCACTAAAATTTTTCAATTTGAAAAAACATGACTTTCATAGAAAGAGTGAATGCTCATTAAGGCCCAGTTGCAGGTCCTAGAAGATCATACAGAAAAAATAAAGAGACATGAAAGTCATGATGGACTTGGATAATAAAGCCAAGTAATCTAAAATGTAAATAATAAGATTCCATAAATAATAAAAAGAATAGATATAAACAAGGAAGTAATTAAAGTAACTAGTTACTATTTAGTATTGAGTAGATATGGGGAGAAAATATCTGCAATTCATTTATCCCAAAATCAGAAAAGATACAATTTATCCATTTTAGCAAAATTAAAAAATCATCATATACTCCATTTGAGAAATACTCAAGAAAATTTTCAGTCCCATGATTAGTTAATTAGAGTTTGAAGGGACATTTAGAGGTGTGCAAAAAAGCAATAGCTGATAATGGCATGACTATGAAAACTGCAATAATAAAAGTGCTAAACAATCTTTCAATGAAACAGATTTACTGTAAGAAAAAGTTTATCAGAGTCTAGAATAATTTTTAATAAACTCTCACAGTATAACCTAGAGTTAGGGAGAGAAGCAGTGAGGGAATGAAAGCATTATAAAAGTTTGGGTTGGAGAGTGAGTGGATTTTTCTACTAACATATTAAATAGATCACTTGAAAAAAAAATCAATCATCAGAGAAAGAATTAGCAATTATATTAAGTAGCATATTTCAAAACTATCCTGGACTCAGCTCAGAACTCTGTGATGAACTAGAGGGGGGAGGGGGGCTGGAAGGGAAGTTTAAGAGGGAGAGGATATATGTATACTCATGACTGATTCACATTGTTGTATAGCAGAAACCATCACAAAATGTAAAGAAACTATATTCCAATTAAAATTTCAAAAAATTAAAAATAAAAGCAAACAAAAAACTAGCCTGGAAAACATAAAGAAGATGACCCAGCAGGTGGTTAACATTAATTACCTGGAGATAGGACGGTAGATCAATGAGAAAAAGACTAAGAAGTTAGTGAAGAAAAACTACAGCTAAAATATAAGAGAAAGTGTTCATAAAATATCCAGAATATGTCATATGATCACATTTATATAAAATTCTGTGTTTTTAGTGTCAGGTGTGAATGTACAGGTGTATTTATGTTGGCTGAATATAAATGAGGTCTCATTGACTTTGCAAGCAATTTTTAAAATTAAACATTAGAATAGAGGTCCGATACCACTATGTATAGAGAAGCAGGAGTTGGAGGGAATTAAGGAAAGAGGAAGTAACATAAAACGCTTGACTCCTTCTCATTCCCCTCACAGGACACAGTGCCCCATCAAAAGTGTGGTGCCCTATTGCTTTTGTTTCACTGTTGTTGAACCTGGTGGTGCTGGCTGGACTGGGAGCCCTGGGCTTAATGTGTAAGTGTTCACTTTTCTCTGAGGCTGTCCCTTACTCTTCTTAGGCATATTGCAAATGAAGCCAAATCCTGAGACATATCCATATAAAACTTCCAGATAAACAGAGGAAAACAGGTTTCATTTCTGTATGACCATGTAACACTAGTCATTCTTTTTGGGCTATTTTAATATCAGATTCCTTCAGTGCCACCAGTGCTGAAGAGAGTAATGTAAAGCCTGTGTTTCTAAAAGTTATAAAATTAATGCAACAAAACATAACTAATTTATACCCTGAGAGTTCTCATGAGGAGTCCATATATTAGAAATAAATTCTTCATTTTCATAACATTTTTGAAGTATCTCTTCTCAAGCCTGGATGACACTGGGAAACACTTATTCCCTTTCGCTTCCCTCCTACAAGAGTGGGTACAAAGGCATTCTGAAGAAATAGAGGATGATTAAGGCAATAATTGTTTCGTTGTGTCCATTCTTTGTGATTGTTTCTCATTTAATTCTCATAAAACTTAAAGATTCTATTAGGATTAAGGGCTGGCAAGTAAACTAATATCAGTCTTGTAGAAAAGATGGGTTTTGTTTAATAATCCACAAAATGGAGGTGTTATGTTTTTTGAATCTTCTGATAATCTTAGATACATGATTTCCATTTTCTGAAATTCTTATTTTTTTTTAAATTCTGAGGCTAGTGTTTACTAATTCTATATCCATAAAATATGGTTATTTCTGTCCAAGAAACTCAAAGTTACAACACTTAGCCTCACCAATGTATTCTGGTGACTCCTGGTCTCAAAAGTGTGGTTTGCATTTTTAAAAACTAACTATTGAATTACAGTCTTTTATTTTGAAATCTCTGCATCACACAGACACTTTTTGTTCTGTATTTTTAAACTTATTTTGGCATTTCCTTATATAAGAACTAGTACTCTCTTGAGTAACATCAAACATTATTATTTCAAATAAATGTTAATCTTAAAAGTATGTAAAGTTGATACTCTTATGTAGCTATCATTTTAAAGTGTGCTTTCTATTAAATTTTTAAATAACTGCTGTGTTAGTAGTATAATTTATTGGAAGGTTCTATGTGAAAGTTATTAATCTCCTGATATGAATTATAGATTACTACAAGCTCATTTTTAACAGCAAGACAGTTTACGATGTACAACTGAATGTAACAGAACACGTGGGAACAACCGCATTACCTACAGATATGCCTACAACTGTCCCAGGTGAGCACATCATTTTAATATGTTAGAATAACACTGAAGTGTTGAATAACTTTACTTCCAAGTACTTTGAAGAGTTAAAACAGAAGGAAAATAAAAGTGAAAGATCTTTCTGTTTCAGAGTTATCAGTAACATAGTTTTCCCCAATTTTCTCTCTTCTTTTTCATTGTATTCAAAGTCCTGAAATATTTACAAAATTAAAGAAAAACCATACAAATATGGTAAACATGTATAGATTCTTTTATTAAATAAACATTTTCATCTTTCTGTACTTAGTTTCTTTATATGTTTAATTATTTTTTTTTTCAAATGAATGTCTTCTCTCTCCTTAGACTAGGTTTTCTTAAATCCCTTCTTTCTTTCTTTAGCACTGACCTTTAAACATTTTAATGGAGTTTAGCTGTGATGGTGTTTAGCTGGGTATATGGAAGACAAATATTCTGTATTCTCATATGTCTGAAATAAGAAATTTTGTGGCTAAAAATTCACTTCTTAGAAAATATTGAGGGAGATACTTCATTGTCCCTGGAAAACAGTGTTGTTAATAAGTCTGTCCCCAGTATAATTTTCATTTTATAAAAATGACCCAACTTTAGCTGCTGGGGTCCTGACATTTTGGATTTTTCTTGGGTATGAGTGTTTCAGAACTAAAGCTGATGCTCCAATAGTTTGACCAACTGATGCGAAGAGCTGACTCATTGAAAAAGATTCTTCTGCTGGGAAAGATTGGTGGCAAAAGGAGGAAAGGGCTACAGAGGACAAGGTGGTTAGATAAAATCACCAACTCAGTGGACCTGAATTTGAACAAACTCCAGGAGACAGTGAAGGACAAGGGAGCCTGGCATGCTGCAGTCTTCTCAATCTGAAAGTTTAGGGCTTTCAAATTTAGGGAATGTATGTGCTATTCCTTATAGTTTATTTTTTACTTCATTTCCTCTGTTCTTTCCATGACTTCTCTTGTTCAGATGTTCAGATTTACAGATTGTCATCTTTCCTTTGTATTTTCTGTTTGTTTTAACATTAGATTCTGGAAGATTTCTTAAATTTTACTTTTTAATCTATTGATTATTTTTTGGCTATCATGATTCTTAAGAGTTTTATTTTTGTAGCATCTTATTCTTACCATATATATATATAATCTTTTGGAGACATCTGAGTAAATTGATTAGAGATACATTTTAAAATATCAGTCTATTTTTTAGAAGTCATTTTGAGGAGGAAGGCAGTTTTTTCTTTTCTTTTTCTTTAATCATGAAAATTCTCTTCTATGTGCTGCTGCTGCTGCTGCTAAGTTGCTTCAGTCATGTCCAACTCTGTGCGACCCCATAGATGGCGGCCCACCATTTCCTTCTCCTATGCATGAAAGTGAAAAATGAAAGCAAAGTCGCTCAGTCGTGTTCGACTCCTAGCAACTCCATGGACTGCAGCCCACCAGGCTCCTCCATCCATGGAATTTTCCAGGCAAGAGTACTGGAGTGGGTTGCCATTGCCTTCTCCTTTCATGTGCTGGTGCTCCTATATACCCTAGGATTTTTGCTTCTCTGTTGATACTCAAGAAAGGAAGTGATGGCTAGTGTGGATTGCCTCTATTGTTATTTTAAAGAAGATAAAAAAATAAAGAAGATAGTTTTTCCATTAGATCTCTCTAGAAGTGAGAACTCTATCTGAATACTTTTTTTTTGGCCCTCTACTATATTACTTACAATTTTTATTGTAATATAATTGCTTTACAATGTTTTTTAGTTTCTGTTGTACAACAAAGTGAGTCAGCTGTATTTATACATATATTTTAAGGGTGGAAGACCAGGGGGGAGTGATGAACAGGCAACTTTCCTGTTCAAATTAAGTTGGATATAAAGTATGGTGTCAACAATGATAGTAGAAACCAAGGCCTTGCCAGATAGCTCATTCAATATTTTTAGAGATGAACTATATCCTTTCTTCTCCTGAAAATTGTATAAATGTCACTGATTTTCTTCCTTCTTCTCTTAACTTCTTATATTCTTTCATCAAAAAGATGCACTGTGCACCATATGTCAAGCACCTGGGAAACCTAGACAATATAAATTTTTTTGGTATAACAGTTCCAACAATTTCTCATCTTGAGTGAGACAGGAGAAGCAGACAAGTAAACAGAAAAATTATAATTCAGTGTAACAAGTGGTCATAAACATGAACACATAGGGCAAGAAACCATATAGTTGGAAGAAATGGTTCAGACTGAATCAGTTCAGTCACTCAGTCATGTCCAACTCTTTGTGACCCCATGAATTGCAGCATGCCAGGCCTCCCTGTCCATCACAAATTCCCGGAGTTTACTCAAACTCATGTCCATTGAGTAAGTAATGCCATCCAGCCATCTCATCCTTAGTCACGCCCTTCTCCTCCTGGCCCCCAATCCCTCCCAGCATCAGGGTCTTTTCCAATGAGTCAACTCTTCACATGAGGTGGCCAAAGTATTGGAGCTTCAGCTTCAGCATCAGTCCTTCCAATGAACACCCAGGACTGATCTCCTTTAGTATGGACTGGATGGATCTCCTTGCAGTCCAAGGGACTCTCAAGAGTCTTCTCCAACACCACAGTTCAAAAGCATCAATTCTTCGGCACTCAGCTTTCTTCACAGTCCAACTCTCACATCCATACATGACCACTGGAAAACCATAGCCTTGACTAGACGGACCTTTGTTGGCAAAGTAATGTCTCTGCTTTTTAATATGCTATCTAGGTTGGTCATAACTTTCCTTTCAAGAAGTAAGCATCTTTTAATTTCATGGCTGCAATCACCATCTGCAGTGATTTTGGAGCCCTGAAAAAAGTCTCTCACTGTTTCCACTGTTTCCCCATCTATTTCCCATGAAGTTATAGGACCAGATGCCATGATCTTAGTTTTCTGAATGTTGAGCTTTAAGCCAACTTTTTCACTCTCCTCTTTCACATTCATCAGGAGGCTTTTTAGTTCCTCTTCACTTTCTGCCATAAGGTTCGTGTCATCTGCATATCTGAGGTTATTGATATTTCTCCCAGCACTCTTGATTTCAGATTGTGCTTTTTCCAGCCCAGCGTTTGTCATGATGTACTCTGCATATTAGTTAAATAAGCAGGGTGACAATATACAGCCTTGACGTACTCTTTTTCCTATTTGGAACCAGTCTGTTTTTTCCATGATCAGTTCTAATTGTTGCTTCCTGACCTGCATACAGGTTTCTCAAGAGGCAGGTCAGGTGATCTGGTATTCCCATCTCTTGAAGAATTTTCCACAGTTTATTGTGATCCACATAGTCAAAGGCTTTGCCATAGTCAATAAAGCAGAAATAGATGTTTTTCTGGAACTCTCTTGCTTTTTTGATGATCCAGCAGATGTTGGCAATTGATCCCTGGTTCCGCTGCCTTTTCTAAAACCAGTGTGAACATCTGGAAGTTCACGGTTCACGTATTGCTGAACCCTGGCTTGGAGAATTTTGAGCATTACTTTACTAGCGTGTGAGATGAGTGCAATCGTGCAGTACTTTGAGCATTCTTTGGCATTGCCTTTCTTTGAGATTGGAATGAAAACTGACCTTTCCCAGTCCTGTGGCCACTGCTGAGTTTTCCAAATTTGCTGACATATTGAGTGCAGCACTTTCATAGCATCATCTTTCAGGATTTGAAATAGCTCAACTGGAATTCCATCACCTCCACTGGCTTTGTTCGTAGTGATGTTTTCTAAGGCCCACTTGACTTCACATTCCAGGATGTCTGGCTCTAGGTGAGTGATCATACCACCGTGATTATCTGGGTCATGAAGATCTTTTTTGTACAGTTCTTCTGTGTATTCTTGCCACCTCTTCTTAATATCTTCTGTTTCTGTTAGGTCCATACCATTTCTGTCCTTTATTGAGCCCATCTTTGAACGAAATGTTTCCTTGATATATCTAATTTTCTTGAAGAGATCTCTAGTCTTTCCCATTCTGTTATTTTCCTCTGTTTCTTTTTATTGATCTCTGAGGAAGGCTTTCTTATCTCTCCTTGCTATTCTTTGGAACTCTGCATTCAGATGCTTATGTCTTTCCTTATCTCCTTTGCTTTTCGTTTCTCTTCTTTTCACAGCTATTTGTAAGGCCTCCTTAGACAACTATTTTGGTTTTTTGCATTTCTTTTCCATGGGGATGGTCTTGATCCCTGTCTCCTGTAAAATGTCAGGAACCTCGGTCCATTGTTCATCAGGCACTCTGTCTATCAGATCTAGTCCCTTAAAACTATTTCTCACTTCCACTGTATAGTAATAAGGGATTTGATTTAGCTCATACCTGGATGGCCTAGTGGTTTTCCCTATTTTCTTCAATTTCAGTCTTTGGCATTAAGGAGCTCATTATCTGAGCCACAGTCAGCTCCTGGTCTTGTTTTTGCTGACCATATAGAGCTTCTCCATCTGCTGCAAAGAATATAATCAATCTGATTTCGGTGTTGACCCTCTGGTGATGTCCATCTGTAGAGTCTTCTCTTGTTTTGTTGGAAGAGGGTGTTTGCTATGACCAGTGCATTCTCTTGGTAAAACTCTATTAGCCTCTGCCCTGCTTCATTCTGTATTCCAAAGCCAAATTTGCCTGTTACTGCAGGTGTTTCTTGACTTCCTACTTTTGCATTCCAGTTCTGTATAATGAAAATGATATCTTTTTTGCGTGTTAGTTCTACAAGGTCTTGTAGGTCTTCATAGAACCATTCAACTTCAGCTTCTTCAGCGTTACTGGTTGGGGTACAGGCTTGGATTACCGTGATATTGAATGGTTTGCCTTGGAAATGAACAGAGATCATTCTGTCATTTTTGCGATTGCATCCAAGTACTGCATTTTGGACTCTTTTGTTGACCATGATGGCTACTCCATTTCTTCTAAGGGATTTCTGCCCACAGTAGTAGATATAATGGTCATCTGAGTTAAATTCACCCATTCCAGTCCATTTTAGTTCGCAGATTCCTAGAATGTCGACATTCACTCTTGCTATCTCCTGTTTGACCACTTCCAATTTGCCTTGATTCATGGGCCTAACATTCCAGGTTCCTATGCAATATTGCTCTTTACAGCATCAGAACTTGCTTCTATCACCAGTCACATCCACAACTGGGTATAGTTTTTGCTTTGGCTCCATCCCTCCATTCTTTCTGGAGTTATTTTCCACTGATCTCCAGTAACATATTGGGCACCTACTGACCTGCGGAGTTCCTCTTTCAGTATCCTATCATTTTGCCTTTTCCTACTGTTCGTGGGGTTCTCAGACTGAACGGGGTACAATATTTAATGCAGGGATTGGATGCATGTTTTTATAAAAGTAATGAGATAGCAAGGCATTCTCAAGAAAAATTCAAGATTTTCAAGACAAATGGATGACAGGAAACTAAGTGGACTAAGAGATAAAACTGGAGTGCCATGAGGATTCCTATAAATAATGGGAAGAAATTGTATTTCAACCTGAAATCTATTTGAATCATTTAGAGAAGAGTCTTATAGAAATATCACTGAAAACATTGAAGTGGTAAATAGCAGAATAGATATGAACTAAGGTCGTGCTTTGTTATTTTTTATTTTTTGCAGCAAACAGAACATTTTGAAGTTTCTCTGAGTGCTTTGAATAATCCCTTCATTGTTTTTTCCCTCTATAGCTATGATTTTTCTTCAATCTTCAGATTGTTCCAGATCCAAGGCTTGTTTCATCTCAGGCTGTGTTCTTTTCCTTCTCTCATATTTTAAGCAATCATTTCTTTCAAATTATAACCTTGTTAATCATTTCAATGTATAATGCAAATGTTTAGAATGTTCTGATGTATATGCTAATTTGTACTATATCTGTGCATACCTGTCATGTATATGTATGTATGTATCCTATCTTTATAGACCTTCCTCATTCAGACCCAGGACTTCACTTATGTCCAGAGATATGGATACAGCATGAAAGTAACTGCTATAACTTCTCCATCAAAATAATTTGTAATATGTGCAACAGCGACTGTGAGAAGAATCACTCCTTCCTGATGAATACGGATGATGGGGAAAATAGGAATAGAACTAAGGTTTGTGCTATGATTTGTGGTGTGTCTGCAGCTATTTCTTGGTATTATTAAAGTACAGGTAAGGAGAATTTGGGTAAAAACATTAATCCTTGGCTGTTCCTGATAAATGGCTTTCATGCCCTTCACTTTTGCTTGTTCCATCTGAGTGGAGACATTGGAAAATTCCTATATCACAGGTTCAGAAAGCAAGGATCGACAGTGATTAGAGTTGCTGGTTCATATGGTAAGCTATGGAAGTCTATTTCTTTGTTATTTCTTGTTCCCCATGTTTTCTGCTTTTTGTTGTTGTTGTTTGTTTTGTTTTGTTTTTAATATAGAGTCAGGAAGGAGAGGGCAATTATTTATTTCCAATTGTGAGGTATATTTTAAATAATCACTGATGCAGATTAAATTACAGGATTCTTTTCCTCCTTAGAATTGTTGTCCACTGATAAAAAGTCATCCTCCGGACTATAAACCACTTGGTATGATCATGTAAATTATCTATTTTATCCTCACATATTACAACCCTATTTGATCTTACTTAAGTTAAAATACAGAAAAATCAGATCAAGATATACTCATGATTATTTTGCTGTTATTGTTTTTCTTAATATTTGACTGTAGCAAAAATACCAAACTCCCAACTGTAGAATGCCCAAACTCCCACTGTCCAGAACAGTCTACTTGTTCATTTTCTTATAATACACAGCAAGCATAAATCCAAAATATTTTGTCCTCAGCATTAACTGAATGTGGTTAAATGTCTCAGTGACCTTTGCCCTTTCTGGTTTTACTACCTGGATTATTATTTTATCTCTTTTGAACCTGATTAATCCAACTCAGGTTTCCAGTATGTGGCTCATTATAGGCATATAGTAAATAGTTTTGGTCACTACTTTTAATGCATTATTTAACATTTTTGAGGTTTTTCTCTGTTAACTGCATTATTCTTGAAACTCTTTCTTTGTTAGTTCTCATGGCGTCATGCCTTCTAGCTGATGTTTTACTTGACCTCCAAACAGGCTCTATATATTATTCCTAAATTTAAGATTCAAAAACTGAAATTTATAGAGGATAAACAAATTTCTTAAGGTCACATGAGCAATAAGAAGCAGAAGGTAAGCTCAAATCCTAGTCTGCTTATCTCCAAAGACTGAAGTATGTCTAAAAATAATTAGTTGACAATTTAAAGATGACTTTGACAAGAGCATTTTTCATGTAATAGGTAATTTGGGTGAAATGTTGATAGCATTTCACACAAGTACTTCTTAAGTGTTTACTAAGGTCTGCAATGTGGGCTGAATGCTGGTAATGTGAGTGATACGTGTAATAAAGCTTATAAACTAAGGTGGATTGAAATAATAAATCAAAAATTATGCAAATGATTATCTAACTGCAATTATGATGTTGCATTTATGAAAAATGAAAAGTATAGCTTTCAAATTGGAAGAAAAGAAGAATAGATGTGTGCCATTAATGGCTTCCTTACTGAGTGATTTTAAGGTCTTTTCAGAAATTACCTTATCTGACGGCTACTTACTTCTTGTCAGAGATCATTCTTCGGAGCTGGTTCTTCCTCAAAGAAGGAAGTTTCAAAGTTTTGGGCTTCCAGAGACTTTCACTATTAGGGCTACCTTGGTTATACCCCTCTCATTCAATTAAAAAATTTTTAATTGTGGTAAAATGTGCATAACATTTGGAGAAGAAATGGTAACCCACTCCAGTATTCTTTCCTGGGACATTCTGTGGACAGAGGCTCCTGGAGCGTTACAGTCCATGGAGCCACAAAGAATTGGACACAACTTAGCAACTAAACAGCAATAAACAACAAATCTCCTGGCTTAACCGATTTTAAGTGTACAGTACATTCCCAATGCTGTGCCACCAATCTCTGGAACTCTTTTCATGTTGCAAAACTGAAACACTGTACTCACTAACCAACTCCTCAACTTCTCCTTCCTTTGCCTCCTGCCAAGCCTGATTCCACTCTTTATTTCTGTGACTTTGACTAGGGTAATAGTCAGTATAAGAATTTTGCATTTAATTTTACATTTAAATGAATCATATAATATTTGTGTTTTTCTGTGGCTGGCCTATTTCACTCAGCATAATGTCCTCAAGGCTTATCCATGTTGTAGTATGTGTCAGACCTCAAAGAGGATAGTTAGAGACCACTTGAAATCTGAATGAGGAAGAAGCATGAAAACAAAGCTTAAACTCCAGATTTTCTCTTAAGAATCTTAGAGGTTAATGCAAGATAAAATACCTTTTATATCTCAAGAGAAAATTCATGATGCCAGGAAAAGTTTTAAAGACATTATGACTTAGCTCAGCAAAGGGCCCAGTGAGGAGGGAAAAATTAAAGGAGTGGAATAGGACTACTGTTGAGTGAAAATTGTATAAATCTTAATTATGTTGAATTGATTCATGGTACTTTTCAGGTCTACTATATCCTTCTACTTTTCTATATCTTCATTCTATTAATTTTTGAGAGTTTGATACTGAAACTCCAACTGAAAATTTTAATTTATCTACTTAAAAAATCATTGTATTTTTTTAATTTCCAAAAATTTTCAGGGTTCTTTTTTTAAATTAATTTATTTTAGTTGGAGAATAATTACTTAACAATATTTTGATTTTTTTTTGCCATACATCAATGTGAATCAGCCACAGGTATACCCGTGTCCCCCTCATCTTGAACCCCGCTACCTCCTCCCTCCTCACCCTATCCCTCTGGGTTGTCCCAGAACACTGGCTTTGAGTGCCCTGCTTCATGCACCAAACTGACACTGGATATCTGTTTTACATATGGTAATGTACATTTTTTTAAAAAAGTAATAATTGTAATATATAGTAGAACTAAGGTCTTCCCTGGTAGCTCAGTTGCTAAAGAATCTGCCTGCCAATGCAGCAGATGCAAGAGACATGGGTTCTCTCCTTGGGTGGGGAAGATCCCCTGAAGGAGGAAATGACAACCCACTCCAGTATTCTTGTCTGGGAAATCCCACAGACAGAAGAGCGTGGCAGGTTGCAGTCCATGAGCTTGTAAAGGGTCCAACACAATTGAGTGCACACACATGCACACACATAGTGGAACTATATGTAACTTTGTTCTATATTTTCCAAGTCTCATGTAAATGTGTTATTATACTTTCATAACTTAAAAAAAGAGGGAGAAAAAAGAGTACATAAAGACAGGTAAGCTGGAAGAAAAAATTGGGAGGTCTCATGGGAAAGGTGAGTGTTGAATGAATGTGAACCTATTCCATGGTGAATACAGAAAATTAGGACCTCTGCAGCTGTCTACATAGTGGGTTACCTGATGACTTGTTTTTACCTATCACCTGCTAACTGTTAAGAGTGTAGTAATGGTGTTAAATAGGACACTTGAGAAGAATAGAGAAGGTCTTCAAATCCCACTGAGGGTAAGGGGACAATGAACAAAGGAGCAGTGACGTGAATGTTGAGTGGAATTTTGATGACATGCACTTGTTTCTGTTGCACTTGAATTAGCTCCCAGCCATTCAAAGTAATTGATGTTTCCTTTGTTCACAGATGTTCATTAGATGTTGTCCATCATATATCTTCCAGACGATTCTGAATTTTGTTCCCAACAACACAAATCAGACAGCAAGGAATGTTTCAGATATTTCCAATCTGACTCGTGAGTTAACCTGTTTCTTCCTTTTTTTGTCAATAATAAAGGAATATCTGGGGTACTAATTTTGTTGATGTTTCTCTGATAGTCACTGGCCATACATGGTCAAAAATGTATGAAGGGAAGGAAAGACATCCTGGAAGCTTTTCCCTGTAACTTAGGCAATTCTTTTTTTGCAAAAAAAAAAAATCTGTTCTATACAGAAATAACTGAAATTGAGAGCACTAGGGGAAGAAATTCAGAAGCTTTGCTATACTTCCCTGCCCTTATTTCACAGGACTGCTTCATGCTTTCCTAGGACACTAAGGAATGGAGACAAGGTATAAGGACAAAGTCAAATCAGGGTCAAGGATATTATCCAGTGCAATAGAAAATAAATTATCTCCTTGGAGCCAAGAAATTCTTCTTTGTTTCTAGCACTTTACATTGTTAAAGTAAATAATATGCGCTTATGAGCTTATATACTTTACTAAAGGAATATTATGACAATATTTTAAGTGAGCTATAATCCAGATAACTATATGATTTATTGGTCATATGATTGGTTTATTGACCATATGATTTTGAGAGTGAAATGAGGCACTACTGATAATTAACACTAATTGTACCAGGCATAAATCAATAGTGTCCTGGGAAAGCCAAGGTTACTCAATGACCTTTTGGGTAAAATTGGTAACACACATATATCCCCTCTTGTTTTGGATTCCCTTCCCATTTAGTTCTTCACAGAGCACTGAGTAGAGTTCCCAGGGCTATATAGAAGGTTCTTATTAATTATCTATTTTATATATAGTGTTGGGATTGAATAATCAATCCCAGTATCCAAATACAAGAGAAATTAACACATCATTGTAAACCAATTATGCTATACTAAGTCTCTTCAGTTGTATCGACTCTACGATGTTATGGACTGTGGCCCACCAGACTCCTCAGTCCATGGAATTCTCCAGGCAAGAATACTGGACTGGGTTGCCATTCCCTTCTCCAGGGGATCTTTCTGACCCATGGATCAAACCCACGTCTCTTATATCTTCTGCATTGCCAAGAGGGTTCTTTACCACTGGCGCCACCTGGGAAACCCTGTGGAGCAATTATACTTCAATAAAAGATAATTTTAAAAATTCTAACAACAGATGATAATAAAAAATAAAAAATGGTAATAGATAGACCAGAGGTAGTTTTGAGTCCAAGAAAGTTGAAGGCACTAGAGAATTCTAACAATAGTATAAAGAATCACCAGAGCTACTGTCACTTTCTTCTCTCTTAACTAAAATGATTTAACAAGAAAAGAATAAGTTTTGGAAGTCAGAGTTTATGTTTATGAGGTAGTTGTTTTTCAAGGTAAAGCACAAGACTCATTTTTATTTATCTTTTTGTTCCAGGTTTGGTACCTCCATAAGTATTTCAAGTGCCTAAACAGTGAAGCATGCAGTATTCAATGGAAATTTAATAATTGGAAAATCTAGTGACTCTAGTAGTTATTGTACCTGTGAGAACAAAGTAGATGTACCAAATTCTCAATCTTATGTAAATGCAAGAACTTATAATAGTTTAGGATATACAAATGACTGTGTAAGCTGAAACTATGCAAAAACAATCTCAGACACAAATGGGGTAAATTTGATTGGTTTGTGACCTTTAAAACTTTTTGTAAAAACATTAAAAACTTGTCTTCAGTTGATTATAATTATACAGGAAAAGTTTTTAAAAGTAAAATTGATGTTATCTGGTCCAAATTTAATTTGAAATATTAGAAACATTGAGAATTAAAGTGGTTTATTTTGTTGATCAAGAGTGGTATAAACAGGGCTACAACTTCTTGCAATACACCTTATTACACAGATGGAGCATCTTTTCTATACTGAAGAAATTGTTACACTCCTTACTAAGTTGGGATAACTTATTGTTTTATCCTTTCTGTGCTCAAAGACATGAAATATTGCCAACAGTTCCTTTAATTGTGAAGTTTTTTTTTTTTTTTTGCTGACATCACTTCCTTTAGACAACATCAGCATCATTTTCTTCATTGCAACTACTTTTGTCAATCAACTTTCTTCACCAAGTTCCTCTGACTGCATATTGAGACTTTCTAAAATGATGGTAGAGTCAATATTCCCACAGTGAGTGATTTCTTTCATAACTGTATTTGGATTATTATTTGTACAATGTGGTAAAAGTTCCTGTCATGCTATAAACATGTTATTCACTCTTTCTGACAGGATATTTGAGTATTTTCAACTAGATGCTTTATGTCAGATTTCTAAAACTCAACTAGAGAGTTTTTTTATTGCATTATGGTTGCATTATCAATAGCCTGTCCAAATGCCCATCAAACATAAAAGATCTTAAAAGACGAGATAATTCCTTGACCCCTTGACTGGATTAATGATGCTGCATTTAATGATAAACAGCAAATTTTCACAAGTTCACTCAAGCCCCTAAGAGAATTAGCATGACCTAGAGCATTATCTGAGTATAAGTGCTTTAAAAACTAAATTATTTTGCTGACAGTATCTCAACAACATGGAAACAACGGGGAAAAGGAACGGTATGCATTACTATCTATATCTGAGCTGAATAAGATATTCTCAGTGACCAACCCTGGAGAAATTTTTTTAAAAAGTGACAAGATTGACCATAATGAGTATCTGTTATTTACACAGCAGCAAAGTTTGTACTTCATGTGATTACTCAGAGTTAATACACGCTGGTAAATGAAAACTGAATCCTGTAAGTGGGAGGCTGATGTTTAGGTGAATCATAATCTCTGAAATTTGCACTTGTGAGAATCATGTAAAATAATTTCTGATAGCTTTCAAAGCTCAAATAATAAATTAAAACAAACATCTGAGGTGTGCTCCATTTTATGATAATATCATTCTTTTTCTCCAGATTCTTACATATATTTATCAACAGGAAATCTGTGAAGGATTCTCAAGACAACAAAGCTGATACTTAAGTAATATGTGATCTAGCACTAATCCTCTCTTTTATGTTAAAATATCCTTGGCGGTGGTCATTTAGTCACTAAGTTGTGTTCGACTCTTGTGACCCCACGGACTATATAGCCTGACAGGCTCCTCTGTTCATGGGATTCTCAGGCAAGAATACTGGAGTGGGTTGCCATTTCTTTCTCAAGAGGATCATCCTGATCCACGGATCGAAACATGATCTCCTGCATTATAGGCAGAATCTTTACCGACTTAGGTACAAGGGATGCCCTAGACTAAAATATCCTTAGTCATTCATTAAAGTTAAGAAGTAATCAGGCCAAAACAGGAGAAAACAGGAGCTCAGAGAACTCATTTTATCATTATGCCCATTTTTTCTGAAATGTTTGCATTTTCACACAAATTTGTACTTTTATTTAGACAGATCCTGAGTCCTGGAGGTCTTCCTTGATGGTTCAGTCGGTAAAGAGCCTGCCTGCAACCTGGGAAATCCAGGTTGAATTCCTGGGTTGGGAAGATCCCCTGGAGGAGGAAATGGCAACCCATTCCAGTTTTCTTGCCTGGAGAATTCCATCGACAGAGGAGCCTAGTGGGCTACAGTCCATGGGGTCCCAGAGAGTCGGACATGACTGAGAGACTAACACTACCCTGGGTCTTGGAGAAATGGAAGTTAGAACAAAGTCATCTTCACACTATAAGCTCAGTTCAGTTCAGTCTCTCAGTTGTGTCTCTCTCTTTGCGACCCCATGGACTGCAGTATGCCAGGCCACCCTGTCCATCACCAACTGCCGGAGCTTGCTCAAACTCATGTCCATCTCTAGTCGGTGATGCCATCAAGCCATCTCATCCTCTGTCATCCCCTTCTCCTCCTGCCTTCAGTATTTCCCAACATCAGGGTCTTTTCCAATGACTCAGCTCTTCACATCAGGTGGCCAAAGTATTGAAGTTTCAGCTTCAGCATCAGTCCTTCCAATGAATATTCAGGTCTGATTTCCTTTAGGATTGATTGGTTAGATCTCCTTGCAGTCCAAGGGACTCTCAAGAGTCTTCTCCAACACCATAGTTCCAAACCATCAATTCTTCAGTGCTCAGCTTTTTTTATACTCCAACTCTCACATCCATACATGACTACTGGAAAAACCATAGCTCTGACTAGACTGACCTTTGTTGGCAAAGTAATGTTTCTGCTTTTTAAAACGCTGTCTAGGTTGGTCATAGCTTTTCTTCCAAGGAGCAAGTGTCTTTCAATTTCAGGGCTGCAGTAACCATTTGCTGTGATTTTGGAGCCCAAAGAAAATAAAGTTTGTCACTGTTTGCATTGTTTCCCCATCTAATTGCCATGAAGTGATGGGACCAGATGCCATGATCTTCGTTTTTTGAAAGTTGAGTTTTAAGCCAGCTTTTTCACTCTCGTCTTTCACTTTCATCAAGAGGCTCTTCAGTTCGTCTTCACTTTCTTCCATAAGGGTGGTGTCATCTGCATGTCTGAGGTTATTGATATTTCTCCCAGCAATCTTGATTCCAACTTATGCTTCATCCAGCCTGGCATTTCTCATGATGTACTCTGCATATAAGTTAAATAAGCAGGCTGACAATATACAGCCGTGACATACTCCTTTCCCAATTTGGAATCAGTCTGTTGTTTCCTGTCCGGTTCTAATTGTTGCTTCTTGACCTTCACACAGATTTCCCAGGAGGCAAGTAAGGTGGTCTGGTATTCCCATCTCTTGAAGAATTGTCCATAGTTTGTTGTGATCTACACAGTCAAAGGCTTTGACGTAATCAATAAAGCAGAAATAGATGCTTTTCTGGAACTCTCTTGCTTTTTCGATGATCCAACAGATGTTGGCAATATGAACTCTGGTTCCTCTCCCTTTTCTAAATCCATTTATCTAGTTCCTCTGCCTTTTCTAAATACTATGAGATAGGGACTCAAATAATTCTACCTTTATTGTAAGATTGAACCAAAAGGAAACAAGCCCTTTGAAAGTCTTGCAGCTTAGGTTATGATCATCTGTGTTTTCAAGAAATTTCAACCTTTATTCATGGATTAAGGGGTCAAAATTCGTAAAGTCCTGGATCCTGAGAGAAGTAATATGTGACTCTTTTCTGGAGAAGGGTAACTTCATTCCAAAATACAGAGACCACAGTCATGGTGACATATTCAGTTTCAAAAAAGAGACCCACAGACAGGTTCCAAAGAGAAAAACAAGTACAAACATTAAAAGTGGAATTTTTATGCCAGTGACTAAACACTTTTATCTCTTGAATTCCCTTTTGCCCTCACTTAATCCTTAATTAAATTTGTTTTTAATTTCATTTCTAACTCATTTAGGTTCTGGAGTTTTCATTTGACTCCTGAATTATTTCTATGCTGTGGAAATTCTTTATTCTTTTCTCTCTACTTGAACACACTGATCATTTTTATTTTAAATTTCCTATCTGATATCATCAGTATCTGAAGTATCTATAGGTCAGTTTTTATTACTTGACTTGTCAATTAAAGTTTTGTCATTTAGTCTTTTTTTTTTTTTTTAGGATGCTTCACAATTTTTCATTAAATGTCAGCCATGTACGCAAGAGACCTGGGTTTGATCCCTGGGTTGGGAAGACCCCCTGGAAGAGGGCATAGCAACCCACTCCAGAATCCCATGGACAGAGGAGCCTGGCGGGTTACAGTCCAGAGGGTAGCAAAGAGTCCGACACAACTGAAGCGACTTAGCACATGCACATGTTTATAAAAACAGTTAAGATTATGAATGATATTTTTCTACAAAGAGAGGTTTTTATTTGTTTGTTTGTTTTCTAGCAGGCATGTAGAATATAAGGGACTTATATTCTACTTATATTCTATATGTAAGGCATGTAGAATATAAGTCCCTTGAGTTTGCCTTCTTAGTTGTTTTACAAATTCTGTTCAACTTGGATAATAATTTTTTGCTAGGAGATTTTATGTGATACAAGCCACAGTTTTGTGGTCAGAACAGGGAGATGGCCCTTCTTCGATTACACAACACTTATCGAGCACATACATATTTAAAAGCTAATGGTCAAGCAATGCATTCCCAACAGAACATTTATTAGGGAACAGTATCACAGATACAGAAAGTATAGCATTTGCTTAGCTCTCCTCTCCTTTTTCACATTATGGGGTTATGCACAGTATTCAGGCAGGTCTGCATGTCAGATTCCAGGAAGGAGATTCTGATTCTGCAAGTGGGTTTTAGGTGCCTGACTAGGAATTTAGCACTTCCTTGCTAGTGTGTTCAATGGCTGAGTTCTGGGTGGTTTGGTCACAGCACTATCGCATGGGAAAGCCTCACTTCTCCCACATTCTGCTGCCTAAGCATTTAACCACAGAAACCACCAGCCCTCATTCTCATGTCTGTAACTGCGGGTTGTGTCCAAATCTGTCACTGGAACTGTGATGCAATGAATCAAATGATTGTCTTAAGCACTGCAGCTGGTTACTTTGGAGAGTTACAGGACCTACCCTGAAGCTTCAGTATTAGTTAATTCCTTCAGGTCTTGATGGCAAGCTTGACGGCAAGTGGCGGAAGTTTATCCCACTGCAACTGAGCAAACACGTCAACCTGTAAGGGCTGCAAGGTGGGTCCCTGGGACAGAGCCCCTGGAAGGGAAGAAACAGTGACACTCTGAGGGCAGGGTGGGAAGTCGATCACTCCCACTTTTACAACTAAATAGAGCTGCATCATCCACAAATTCATAACTTTGCTTAAACCTATCAGGGCTCTGAGGTTATAGGACAGTCAGCTAAGCTGAAATCTGAAAAAGACAAGTACCTTCAAAGAAAGACAGGGCATGCAATCTTGCTCACCTGGGGAAAATACTCAATTCATAGAAGCTGTTATAAAGAATTCAGCCAAAATGTTTAACAAGTTGCTAAAGGCAGACTGTGGTTTTGCTTTAGAGCACAGACACCCTGAGAACTGTGGACAAAGGTAAATCACAGATACCTGAAGCTACTTTACAAACTTCACTGGATGCTGTAAGTTTGCAAGCAGGTCACAACATATTGGCAAATCTCCCTTATGTTTCAGGTCTGGGGAGATGAGCAGTCATTTTTTAAAAGACACAAAACCTGAAATTTCTCCCCTAGGGAACAAGAGCCTTATGCCACTGAAGGCAAAACAGCAAGCTCTCCTTCTCAGGCTCAAGAGAAGCTCATTACAGCTGAAAATGACAGAGAGGGGAACAGCCTGATGGTGTTAACCATGGCTGCTAGAATTCCTCTGCTAAATGAATCTTCGGATATCCACAGTGGCCTCCTGTTTCAATTCTCTTGTTCCTTCACTGTTTCTCTCACTTTCAAAATAAACTGCCTGCACTAGAGTCCTCCACATCTGCTTCTCAGCACTTCATGTTCTCTTTTTCTACTTCCACTTTCTCTAGTTTCTTTCCACCTTTAAAGGGACAGCAATCTGTCTTCTCTTTGTTCCCTGCTCCTTTCCTGTTCTGTCCCTGGGCTGCATCACAACCTAAGGTTCACAGAGAAATGTAAACAGACAATCGAGGAAAACCCCCAACCAAGCCCTGGAACACCTAACAATTTAAAAGATTTTAAAAATGTTGCATCTAAGTAAAGTTGTCAGGTAAAAAACATCTTGTGTTTTGAACTAACTGAATAAGATACCTGAATATCTTAGTCAGTTAAATTGTAAATTTAGATTAAGAAATAATGTGTTTTTCAAGTAAGTATGCCTCATGCAATATTTCTATTTATTTGTAATATGCACTGTTGACCTGAAATTCAAATTTAAGTGGAAATTCTAGGTTTTAATTTGCTAAATCTGGTCAGTCTGCACATAATTGCATTGGAAAAGGTCAGCTAGAAAAATGAAGACCAATTTATGGCTGATTCATGTCAATGTACGACAAAAACCACTACAATATTGTAAAGAAATTAACCTCCAACTAATAAAAATAAATGAAAAAAAATTTGTATAGGCAGAAAAATTTATTTTAAACCGAAGGAAGCTGTTTCTTGACCACCCAACCCCACCCCTCCACCCACATACCTGTCATTGTATCTATTTGTAATATTCATTACAAACCTCACGTTTTATCCTTTTCTTCTTTGTGTCTGAAACTTTTAAACACTCCTTCTGAAGTGTGTGTGTGCGTGCGTGCTCAATCGCTTCAGTCCTGTCCGATTCTTTATGACCCCATGGACTGTAAGCCCACCATGTAAAATTGTCTCAGATTTGAGATTTTCGGGAGACTATATAAAGAAGCCAAAATTGGAGCACAGTGGCCTTTCTGGGCTCTGCTTTGAGTAGTTAGCGGGTGAGAGGTAAGGAGCCAATCAGATATGAAATTCTCAGAGTTGTCACTGTGTTCCAGCCAATCCCAGGCTGCTGATCCACCGCGCCCCTGCAGCTAGGGTACCGGTTGGTAATTGCCTGGTAGCCGTTACTACCCAGGTTCATAAACACGTAAAAGAAAAGGACACATGATATGCGCAGGCCAAGGCGGCATCTGCCTGAAGTCCAGTGCCGAGATTGACTGGAGGATGCTAGATTGCTGCACTATTTCCAGTTGAATCTTGTTTCCGCCCGCTCCCCGGGAAAACTGGCATCTTGCTTTCCTGCAGTGAGGATCAGATATAATTATCAGTTCATCCCCAGGATTATTCCATCAGTGTGACTGTCAAAGAGCCTTTTCCTTTTGAACCTTTGAGAGTCTGAGATGGAGAGTGAAGGAATTGAGAATAGGAATGTTGTGGAGCAGAGGATCAAAAGGCCAGGTAAGAGGGAAGACAGAAGTTGTCCTCGGATACAGGAACTGAGCATCCTTTCTTGATCCCACCTTGCATCCTCAGAATTTTGGTTTATATCATACATAATCTGACCCTGAAGTAAAACAATCTTCTTTATAAAGAAAAGACTTCAGAGAAATTGTGGATCTACCCTTCTCCACCGGATTTCCCCCATCTCTTGGAAGAGGCAGTATTTCATTAAAAAGTACCAGGAGAAACTTGTTTTTCTGTTCTGGAATCCAGGCAGAAGATTGAGTAACATAGTTCTCAGAAATGGCACCAAAAAGTGGAGCCAAAGATCTTTTGAGACTGCTGCTGCTGCAAATTGGATCTTTGTGCCTTTCCTCATTTTCCTAAGTGTTAATTACTGGGTTGTGAACTATAGCATGTAGAGAAGATAGAGGGAAAATATTATTTGGGCCTTTTGCGTCTTTACTTGTTCACTTTTCTTTCCCCACCCCACCCCCATTTATTTTTATTAGTTGGAGGCTAATTACTTACAATATTGTAGTGGTTTTTGTCATACACTGACATGAATCAGCCATGAATTTACATGTATTCCCCATCCCGATCCCCCTCTCCCATTCACTTTTCTTTACAAGATAAACAGTGACATGTTTTCCACAGGTATAGCAACAAAGAAAATGCTAATCATGTCAAGCATGATTTGTGGAGGTATCGCCTTTCTTCTTTGGGCAGTGTTAGGATTTCCTCAAAAGTGTGAGTAACCAATTTCTGCTAAAAATATATTGATTGTATTAATATTGATTGGTTATACCAGTGACTAGCTTTTCTTTCTCCTTCACCGAACAACTGGACTCAGAAAATATTCTCCCTACCAGAACCATCTAGTTTTTCTTCAAAATTAGTTACTCTGCTTTGTCTTCTAGAATGATCATTTGTTTAATAAATATCTCTTGAATTTCAGGCATATGATGATACCAAAATGGAAAAAAAAAATAAGTAGATTTTTCTGCCCTGGAAGGAATTCATTATTAACTGAAGAAAAAAGTGTGTAACATGATAAGAAAAAAGTGTCAGTTGCTCAGTCGCATCTGACTCTTATGACCCCATGGACTGTAGCCCACCAGGCTCCTCTACCATGGGATTTTCTGTGTAAGAATACTGGAGTGGGTGGCCATTTCCTTCTCCAGGGGGTCTTCCTGACCCAGGGATGGAACCTGGTTCTCCTGCATTGGCAGGCAGATTCTTTACTGCCTGAACCACAAGAGGATAACTACTGAGTATAAGTACATTCAGTCTGAAGCAGAAGAAGAGATTATAAGTCTACCTCTAGTAGCTGGGCTTCCTTTGTGGCTCAGCCGGTAAAAAATGTGCCTGCAATGCAGGAGACCCGGGTTTGATACCTGGGATAGAAATATCCCCTGGAGAAGGGAATGGCTTCCCGCTCCAGTGTTCTGGCCTAGAGAATTCCACTGATTCTATAGTCTGCAGGTTTGCAAAGAGTCAGACACTACTGAGTGATTTTCACTTCACTTCGCTAATAGTCAAGTGAGGCTTTGTGATGGAAGGAGTATTTATGCTGAATCAGGAGATCAAGTAGGCATTTATCAGTGAGCATGACTTTGAGGAGAAAAAGAATATGAGCATCGGAGAATCATACCAGGTGCAATTAGGATAGAGTTAAAAAGAAGTGGGTTGGGGTCTAGCAATTATATTACATTCCCCTAGTGCATTAATTCTCTCACTTCCACAGATTTTATACTTTATCCTTTCTCTCCAAACCTTTAGGGAGTCTTTCCACATCTTCACTGTCAAATCTATATCTTTGCTTCTAACCTTATAGCTTAATTCAGTTCAGTCCCTCAGTCATGTCTGACTCTTTATGACCCCATGGACTGCAGCATGCCAGGCCTCCCTGTCCATCACCAATTCCTGGAGCTTACTCAAACTTGTGTCCATCGAGTCAGTGATGCCAACCAACCATCTCATTCTCTGTTGTCCCTTTCTCCTCCCACCTTCAATCTTCCCCAGCATCAGGGTCTTTTCCGAAGAGTCAGTTCTTCACATCAGATGGCCAAACTATTGGGGCTTCAGCTTCAGCATCAGTCCTTCCAATGAATATTCAGGACTGATTTCCTTTCGGATTGACTGGTTGGATCTCCTTGCAATACAACGGACTCTCAAGAGTCTTCTCCAACACTACAGTTCAAAAGCATCAATTCTTTGGTGCTCAGCCTTCTTTATGGTCCTACTCTCACATCCATACATGTCTACTGGAAAAACTGTAGCTTTGACTAGACAGACCTTTGCTGGCAAAGTAATGTCTCTGCTTTTTAAAATACTGTCTAGGTTGGTCATAACTTTTCTACAAGGAGCAAGCATCTTTTAATTTCATTGCTGCAGTCACCATCTGCAGTGATTTTGGAGCCCAAGAAAATAAAGTCTGTCACTGTTTCCATTGCTTCTGCATCTATTTGCCATGAAGTGATGGGACCAGATGCCATGATCTTTGTTTTTTGAACATTGAGTTTTAAGCCAGCTTTTTCACTCATATCTTTCACTTTCATCAAGAGGCTCCTCAATTCCTCTTCACTTTCTTCCATAAGGGTGGTGTCATCTGCATATCTGAGGTTATTTATATCTCTCCCGGCAACCTTCATTCCAACTTGTGCTTCATCCAACATGACATTTTTATGGCAATTAGTAGAAAACTTCCAAATAACTCTCATCACCACACCTATTGTAATTGCCTCTATCTCTACCCATAAACTCTATCCGGATTCTTGGTACTATGTAGATGCAGTGTTCATGTTCTATGCTAGCCTATAGCCTCTTACCTGATTGATATTACTGTAGTAAATCTTGTCTCTCTTCTCTGCACCATCAGTCTTTTCATGCTCAACTGAAATATCCTCATGGGCAACATGATATAGTGATATCTCTCCTACTCTCCCCTGTCAAAAAAAAAAAAAAACAAACTCTCTAGACTTTACTCTTCCTTCATCTACCAATTTGTTTTCTCCTCTGTACAGTAGCCTCCTTGAAAAATTTTCTTTGCTAGCTTTTCCTAATGTCTGTTTTGCTGTCTTCTGTTGAATCTACTCAGATTCCCATTTCTTTTTCTACCAAATTTACCTTACAAGTCCATTAGTAACTTCCAGATAAAGTCTTAGTCTTTATCAAACTTGATCTGTGCAGTAGTCAGCACTGTCTCTCTCCTTGGAAATGATTTGTTTATTTGACTTCCAAAATAGCATTCTCTCATGCCTTGCTTCCTACCTAATCTGTTGCTTATTTACAGGTTTCTTGTATTTGTTCCTTATTTTCTCCCTGACCTCTTACCTTTGCCCCAGGTTCAGTCCTAGAGCAGGTCCCCTCTTCATCTGCCTTTGTACTCGTGGTGACCTGAACCAGACTTAAAACTTTTACATTAATATTGATGATTTCCAAATATATATCTCCGGTCTGGTTCTTTTCACTGAATTCCAAATTGTTGAATCCACCTATTTGACTCTAACAATCATCTCAAACCTAGCATTGTCCAAGCTGAAATTTTAAACTTCTGTCTCCTATAGCCCCTTCTATCTGTGGTTTTCCTCATCTCAGGAAATAGCAACTTTATCTTTCCAGTTTTCAAGACAAAAACTTTATAGCCCTTTTTTGACTCTTTTCCCCACTGTCAAGCCCCAAACATAATCAGCAAATTCTGCCTGGCCTTTCAAAATATGGCTATAATCTGAGTACTTTTCATCATTTCTACCCTCTTGATCGTTCCCAGTTCACATCTTCTATCTTCTAAATCTTCTTCTCTCTTCCACCCTTGACCTTCTAGAGCAACATGCCCAGTGAAAATATAATGTGAGTCACAAATATCAATTAAATTTTAACAGCCACATTGAAATTACAGAAAAATTGCAACAGTTTTAATTGCATTTTATTTAATTCAAACGTAATCAATGTATTATCATTTCATCATGTAGCTATGTAAACATTATTGAGATCTTCATACTATTTTTTGTAGTGTTTGATATTCAGTGTGTGTTTAATACTTATAAGACACCTGGATTTGGACTAGCAATATTTCAGGTGCTCAATACACCTACCTAGCTATGGCTACCATTTCAGGCAGTACAGTTCTAGAGTTTATTTTTAACAATTTTTTGAGACAAATAAGATCTGTACAAAATGCTGCAGAGGTCTTTTATTCTGTTGGAGTGATGCCAAAATCCTACTAATGGCCACAAGGCTCTGTTGGATCTGGTCATTCAATTATCTCTGTGATCTAATCTCTTACTACTTCATTTTTCTCCAGTCCTCTGCATCCTTACTACTTTGTGAAGAAGGAAGACACATTCATCTTTGTCTTTTGTCCTAGGTCTTATTTTTGTTTGGGAAGCTCTTCCCCTGTATGTGAATATGCCTCCCTAGCTACCTCCTTCAAGTCTTTAATAAATATCTCATAGAACACTGTCTGGACCATTGCATTAAAATTGCACCTCTTTCCACCAACAATCCCAATCCCCTTTACTTTGATGCATTTTATAACAAACTAGTAGAGTTTATTAGATATGTAAGTCCCATTTAGGGGAAGGATTTTCATTATTTATAGAGTTGTGTTTCTAAAGCTACAAAAGTATCTGGCACATGGTGGAAGCTCAAGTGATAATTGTTGAATGAATGAATGAATGAACAAAGTAGTGAGTGAATTAGAAAACATGGCTTTCTGGTGACCCAAGTTCTGAGCCACAGACTTGATTTTTGAACAAGATGTTTACTTGAACTTGACATTTTAAAATAATTTTGAAATCAATATTGGTGACCTGAGTTTTTCCACTTGACTTTTATACCAGGATTCATATGTACAGTCCCATACTGTTGGTTTATTATACAGTTCTTCAAATTCAGGGGATTAAGTGTGACCAGTCATTTCTTTCAGCTGTGGGTTAGAGGTGTCCTCTTTATTAAACCTAATTTCTCTGAAGATTGTTACACTTTTATGAGTAATTTTATCTACCTAGTGGCAGTAAGTTGGAGAGTAAAAACTGAATGTTAGTAAGAGTTCAACATTTTTTCCCCTCCATTGTTTTGCGTTTAAGGATAAAGGAACAATTTTAATGAAAGGTGCTGTTTTTGAAAGACAATCTAGTCTCACTTAAGTCAGCAATAAGGAGCCAAGTCTCTGAGATTAACAACAGGGAGAAATACCTTATTTATCATGGGATGTGTCCCAGCCACCATAGTGAATTACAGGGAAAAAAAAACTGGTAAATAAAGAAAATACCAGTAGCATGAAAAAAAATGGAAGGAAAAATGTCTAAAGAAGATTGAGTTTCTGAAAGTTTGTTTGTTATTACCATTTTAAATTATGCATAGATCTGCATTCTTCAATGGTGATTTGTTTTATGCTCTGTTCTTGATCTTTAATTTTCCTGAATTATGTCAGTTAAATTGTTTGAACATGAGATAACATATGTTTTCTCAGTCTGAAATATATGAGAATCTTTTACAGTGAAGGTGAAACTCTTTCATTTTCTTACACTTTCTTAATTTTCCCCCCTCAATTACTGTATTAATTTTAGCTAAAAATCCAATGATCTTCTACAACAAGACATGCTCTGAGGATGCAATCACATGTCTACAAAGCTGGAGCCGAATCAATAATAATTGCTTCTTTCAATCTGAACGTGAAAAAACTTGGATGGATGGCCAGACAAAGTGCACGGCTCACTCTGGATCTCTGGCCATATTCAGCTCCAAGAATGAAGTGGTTAGATGTCTCCTTCACAATATACATTCCATTTAATTTACTGAGTAGCTATTCTGTACAGGTATACTTCAAGGGTGTGATAGATCAGTCAATGAGACAGTCAAAGATCTTTGTCTTTATAGAGGTTAAATCACATGGGAAGAGACAAGGAATAAAAAAGATAATCATAATAAACATATAAATTATATAGTATGTTGCAAATTAGTAAATTTTATGCAAAAAATTGTAAGTTGAGAGGATTTTATGAGTGTTTTCAGTGGGTAGACTGCAAGTAATATAGTCAACTCAGTGATAACACTTGAGCAAAAATGTAATGTAGATAAGGGAGTTAGTTGGTCAAGTTTGTTCTGGGGGACAAACTTCCCAGAAAAGGAAATAGCTAGAACATGAATCTTAAGGTAGGTATTTGCCTGGAAAATTCAATGAACAGAAAAGCAGCAGCCAGTCAATGTACCTAACATGAGACTGTGAGTGAGGTATATGGCTCATCTAGGTCTGTAGGCTTTTTTAAACTAGACTTAGGAGATATTGCAGAAAATGAAGAAAAAAAAAAGTATGATGTGATTTAACTTAAGTTTTAAAATAATCATTATTTTTAATGTAATGTGCCCTTGAATTACAAATATAAAGCAAAGTGTACGTTATTAGGCTGTTGCAATAATTCTAGCAAGAGAGTAGTGAGCTCAAAATGACCATAGCATTGGAGGTAACAAGAATGAGAAAACTAGGAAAGCACTCTGTATTTTGTGAAAGGAATCTTTGATGCCCTATCTGGGACCCTCTTGCTATTGGATTGGACTGAAAATGGACAGCACAAGCAAACTCTGGATATGGACAAATGGAGATGCATTCAGCAACTGGTAAGCATTAATAGCATGTATTTGTTCATACATGTGTTGAGGATGGTAAGAACTCTGAATCTATAATTGTTCTTCTTTGTTTAGTTGTGCCTGCCTCTTTTGCAGCCTGCCAAGTTCCTTTGCCCATGGGATTTCCCAGGCAAGAATATTGGAGTGTGTCACCATTTCCTTCTCCAGGGGATCTACCCAACCCAGGGACCAAACCTGGATTTCCTGCATTACAGACAGATTCTTCACTGCTGAGCCAGCAGGGAAGCCACCTCCCTAATTTCCTCCACACCATCTCCCCAAAAGGCCCCTCAACAAATTAAATGCCAAAGAGAAGCTTCAGACAAATATATGGTCTTTGGTGAAGGTCAGATACTTATGGACTATACCACTCGTGAGCCACAAAGATTTCTTTTATTCTAGACGAAATTAAAATCCAACTTGTATGAACCTTGCCTTATTCTTCTCAGGGCTTTGCCTTTGGTTTGTTTGTTTACTATTGCTTTGAATTCTCATTGGCATGGGAGTCTTAGAAAGTTCACTCAAACCTACACTTACTATACCCACTGGTGGCTTGAAATAGAAGAAAATTAAGTGATAAAGGCAAAATGCTTGCTTCCATTGACCTTTATTTAAAATCTAGAATTTCTCTATGTTCCTAAGTTTGAAGAACTGATTGTACCTGTAGGCGTTACTTCTGTTCTTGAAATATTTAAGATCTCCAACTTCATGGAGGAGAGAGGAATTGGAAGGATACTGATTTCCCCATAGAGAGGGGGCACTAGCTACAGTTTATTGAGCACCTACTACAGACAGATGCTGTCTCAGTCCAGTGGCATTTGGTGCTAGACATGATAGAATGTGTATGACATAACAGAGTAACAGGAGTTGCTAAATTTAGAGAAATTTCTGTCATCACTGTGTTTATATCCAATTTGTGGAAAAAATACACATGAAATTATTTGAGCCCAGTAATATAGCCAATCAGTATGCTTTCAACTTTGAAAAATATATGATGAAGTATCACATAAACTTTCTGACTACCAAACTTAACAATTATGGAATTTTCTTGAGAGAAGATACTATGTATTACATATAGCTCCACTTCAAAAAAAAAGATGAGACAGAGGTTAAAGTAAGTTGGTTAAAATTGATGCAATAGTTTGCTAAGGCTACTGTAATAAATACCACAGACTCGGTCGCTTAAATAATAGTTGTGGAGCCTAGAAGTCTCAGATAAAGGTTTGGCAGGGTTGATTTCTTCTGAGGCCTCTCTCCTCAGCCATCTTCTTCTCTGTGTCTTCACATGGTCTTCCCTCTGTGCACTTGCCTATCTGTGCCCAGATTTCTTCTTCTTATGAGGAGATCCGCCATACTGGAGTAGGGTCCCCTGTAAAGACCTCTTTTTAACTTAACCAACATTTTAAAACACTTCATCTCCTAAGATAATTGCATTCTGAGCTATGAGCATTGAGGTCCTCAATATATAAATTTGAAGAGGGGAGTACCTAATTCAGCCTATGATAATTATTGAGCTCTCAACACCAAAGAATGCATAGGAACAGAAATCACATACAGTTTGGAAACAGGCAGATAAAAATTTCAAGTTACATTAGAAGTTAGGAAGTGACACCAGTGGCACAAAGTAACTCCCCAATTGCTGAAAGCATTTTAATTAACAAATTATATACCAGGAATCATCATAACTCTCCATTCTATTTTTCTTGTCCTTATTTTAAACTCACAACTTCTTCTCTTTATATATGACCCAAAATAGGAATTTAGTAAACCCTTTCAAGGTATTTTATTTATAATTATTTATGTATGTCATAACCTATCCAGCAAGAAATACCTACTTCACCATGACAATAGTTGCAAGAGTAGATGACTGAACATCTGTTTCAGCCTTAAGATCATCTGGTTTTTTTTTTTAACAAGTGAAGGGTGGTCAATTTAATGTCAGTTATAATGTCTCCCTTTATATAATCTTTAAATGGCAAAAGAAATTTATTTGATAATTTTTATTCTGAAGTATATTGCTTCTCAGGTAGCTCAGTGGTAAAGAATCCACTTGCCAGTGCAGGAAACACAGTAGACATGGGATCGATCCCTGGATAGGGAAGATCCCCTGGAGGAGGAAATGACAACCCACTCCAGTATTCCTGCCTGGAAAATCCCATGGACAGAGTAGCCTGGCAGGCCTACAGTCCATGGAGTCACAAAGAGACCATGACTTAGTGACTGAACATGCACAATTTTGAAGTATAAAAGGAAGAATTCCATCCTTTATAAAATGATTTATAGTGTTTCAGTTCTGTTCAGTTCAGTTCAGCACTCAGTCGTGTCCAACTCTTTGCGACCCCGTGAAGCACAGCACACCAGGCCTCCCTGTCCATCACCAACTCCTGGAGTCCACCCAAACCCATGTCCATCAAGTCGGTGATGCCATCTAACCATCTCATCCTCTGTCTTCCCCTTCTCCTCCTCCCCTCAATCTTTCCCAGCATCAGGGTCTTTTCAAATGAGTCAGCTCTTTGCATCAGGTGGCCAAAGTATTGGCGTTTCAGCTTCAATATCAGTCCTTTCAATGAACACCCAGGACTGATCTCCTTTAGGATGGACTGGTTGGATCTTCTTGCAGTCCAAGGGACTCTCAAGAGTTATCTCCAACACCACAGTTCAAAAGCATCATTTTTTCTGCACTCAGCTTTCTTTATAGTCCAACCCTCACATCCATACATGACTACTGGAAAAACAATAGCCTTGACTAGACAGACCTTTGTTATAGTGTTCACTACCCTCATAACCCTTTCTTCTCACCATCACAGGTAAAGTTTGGAGATAAAAATTGGATAAGAAAAGAAATGTGGCTTATTTCACTTCCTCTATTCCTTCCACATCCCACATGTTGAAACATAGTCACCAGAGTTTGCACTGCATATTTTTGGTTTTACTTTATTGTTTCTCATGAAATTCAGTCAATAAAGAGTGAATCTTTTTGTTTTTTTCTAGGTTCAGTATTGACGGAAGTGGAGAGTGTGCCTGCATGTTTCAGAAGGGCATAAGTAGTGACAATTGTAGTGATGCAAGAAAGTACACATGCAGCAGAAAAGGGTTTTGTCCTTAGATAAAAAGTTTTTCCCATACAGGAAATAAAGTGATTAAAGAAAAACTTATCTTTTTGTACTTTATAAACTGATGTAGCTGCATTTTCTTTTCCATCAGACATACTTTTTTTTAAAGTTCACTGATGAAATATTAAATCACTTTTATCTTCATTTAACTATCTGAGAAGACAGGAGTCAAGGTGGTGGATTGGTAGAATGTGGAGTTTGCCTCTCCCCACAAATACATCAAGAATAGAACTACAGGGACTACCCTGGTAGTCCAGTGACTAAGACTTTGCACTCCCAATACAGGTGGTCCAGGTTCAGGTAACTAGACCCCACGTGTTGCCAAATATATATATATATATGTGTGTGTGTATATATTTAAAGCAGTGCATTTATTTTTTTTTAATTAATTAATTTATTATTATTATTTTTTTATCACAACCATAGTGTATCTTTTTTTTTTTTTTACATGTATTCCCCATCCCGGTCCCCCCTCCCACCTCCCTCTCCACCCAATCCCTTATAAATGGAGCAATTTTCAAAGAACAACTGTTGAACACTATTAGAGGACTTTGAACACCTAAAAAGACAAGAAAAATTCCTCACACAACTGGGTTGGACAAAAGAAAGGAAGAAAAAGAAGAAACAGGAAGGGACAGGACCCCAGGGAATAGTTGAAAAAGAGGAGAGCTTCCTTCACTCAGAGAAGCCCACTCATAGCTAGGGGTACTAGCTGGGGAAGGGAAGAATCTTCAGGGGACCTGAGTGGAATACAGCAACAGGTCTGTGGAGGGTAGGAGGAGTAGGACCTAAGTGCAAGTTCCATACCCCAGACAGTGCACCTCCGCTTGGGATGCAGGTCTTTGGTGCAAAGGGAGACTAGGTGCTAGAAAGAAGAGTTTGGAGAGTAAACCCAAGAAGGAACTGCAGTTGGCTGTGAGAATTGCCTGAGTAACCTCACTCATTCTGTCAAAATTCTTTCAGGAATCATCTTCTTTCTATCAGAACTTCCTGAGAAATATCTTTCTTTTGGTCATGTTTCCCTCAGATACGTCCTCCTTAACATTATATACATCCTGAAATCTTTCTATCAGAAATCCTTCAGAAACCTTCTTTCTGTTAGAAAGAACCTTCTTTCTGGTTCACTAGTCTACTTCATATATGAACATTTCCTTAGACATCTCCTTCTTTCTATCAGGTGCCCACAGAAATGTCTATCTTTCGGTCAGGTTTTATCTCAGCACTTCCTACTTTCTGTCAAATTTTACATCAGAGCCTCCTCCCTTCAGAATATTCTCTGAAATTTCCTTTGTCAGTATTCCCTCAGTAATCTCTTTCTTTCTGTCAAGTTTCCCTTAAAAAATTGTCTTCTTTTTGTCAGGCCTTCCTCAGATGTCTCCTTCTTTCTTCTGACATCCCTCAGTGATCTCCCTCATTTTTTCAAATTTCTTTCAGAAATTTTCTTATTTGTTTTATGTTTCCCTTGAAATGAAAATGTTAGTCACTCAGCCGTGTCCAACTCTGAGACCTCATTGACTGTAGCCTGCCAGGCTCCTCTGTCCATGGAATTCTTCAGGCAAGAATACTGGAGTGGGTGGCCATTCCTTTCTTTTGTCAGAATTACCTTCAAAAATTACCTTTTTTCTGTCTGGTTTTCCTCTGATATAGCCTTCTTCTTTCAGGTTTCTCTTAGAAATCTCCTTTTTTCTCTCATGGTTTCCTCAGAGATATCTTTTCTGTCAGGTTTCCCTCAGGTATCATCTTTTTTTTCTGTCAAGTTTTCCTCAGAAATCTTCTTTCTGTCAGGTTTTCTTAGAAATATCTTTGTTTCTTTCTTGTTAAAATAGTGCAGAAAAAAGGTGAATTATACAAGAAGGCAAACAGAGAGAAAATGGAAAAAAGGTACCAGAAGACATGGGTTCCAGGCTCAACATATCTATATTTAGTTTATTGAATGATCTTAGGCCAGTCGCTTGACTTTTCTGAATTTTAATTTTGTTATCAGCATTTCTAATACATGTTTCATAAATATAATTTTGTAATGTAAGTATAATAATACAGATAAAAAAGCTTTGTAAATTGTAGATCACTGACTAAATGTTTCTGGTTGTTGGTCACTGTCACCTTTGAAATCAGTAAGAACTGTCCCAAGAAAAGAAAGCTGTGTGTAAAGATAAATGTAAATGGATTTGTACTTAGAAGACTGAGAAACAACCATAAGATCTAAAGGAGCAAGCTAGATTTGTTTTACCCATACAGAATACCTTGTATTCACATACTTCTTAAAAAGGAGTTATATGAAAATCTTTTAAGATTTACTGTTTAAAAAGAAGGTGCAGAATAATATATATGTTAATATTTGTATAAAAATATAAACACCCATATGTGAACATATGTGTATAAACTATGTGTGTGTGCTAATCTTTCATTGTGTCTGACTCTTTGCACCCCGTGGACTATAGCCCACCAGGCTCCTTTTCCTTGGGATTTTCCAGGCAAGACTACTGGAGCGGGTAGCCATTCCTTTCTTCAGGGGACCTTCCTAATCTAGGGATTGAACCCAGGTCTCCTGCACTACAGGCAGATTCTTTATTGTCTGAGCCATCAGGGAACCCCATGTGTGAACCCCATATATATATGTATATATATGACATCTGAGTATATATATCTTCCTCTGACATTTACTGAGCCTCAGGCCAGAGAACAAACTGAGGTTCACATATCCTATTTTTAAATATACACATTTATAATTCAAGCTAACAATTTTCTATGCTCTATCCTCCTATCTGGACAAAAATAACTTCAGAACCACATAATTGAAAAATACGTAAGAAGATCATAGGAGTGATGAGTGTGTGATTTCTATTAATTTCTTTGATTAAACTCAAGATATACTCAAGAAACTCAATATATACTTCTCACAGAGAACAAAAATAGATCTTAAATATGCTATTTAAATTTTACAAGTGACCACTGAATACACACAGATAAGAAAGTATGTATGTGTATGTGTGTGTATAGATATGAATAAGGTAAGAAGAAGTAGGGCTGCTATTTTCCTCAGGATTTTTGTTGATAATCCTCAGTTATCAATAAGAAATTTAAAAGATAGTATCTATAAAAAATAATATAAGCTTATTTTTGATAGTTGCTTTTGGAACCACCAGAAAAACCACAAACCGTAATATAACTTCATCCTTTTATTTCTTATTAAGAAAATTTATTTTAAAACCCTTTATTACATTAACAAATATTTTGAAAATTCTTTTTTTAAGGCAAAACAAACGACCAGTCTTTTAGATACCCTATAAGTAAATAACAGTCTTTCTGTTGGTGCATTTTTTATTGTGAAAGGTTGAAAGTTGCCATTCCAACATAAGCCAACCCAGATACTATGGCATGGGATTATTCACTAACCAATAATAAAATACAGAGCAGAAACCCTCAAGGTCAACCAGAAGACTCCCAAATAGGCTAAGTATATTTAAATTCTGTAGCAGATAGAGGTTAAATAAAACTATGTGTGTGAATTACTGAAGAAAAATAATGTAGCTCTAAAGAAGTTTGGATATAGGTGTAAAATCAATGCTCACTGAGAATCTGTAATGTAGAAAACAGCCTCACCATCTTAGTTTCTGGATATCCCATGACCATATTCCCCAGGTGGAAAAGTAGAATCACTAGTTTGATCTCACCCCAGAAGCTGAAGTGGGTCAAATAACCTGTATTTTTAAAGTGTGACCAGGTAATAACAGCATTCTGACAAGTTACCAGGCCCTTGTAATATGGATACATGTGAGTATTTTGTTGTCTCTGTCACTTTTAAGAAAAACAACAATGGTGATTGCAAGGCAAAATGTGGGGTGATTTAACACAAGTCCTCAACCTCCAGGATCTAATGCCCAGTGATGTGAAGTGGAACTGATGTAATAACTATAGAAATAAAAGTACACAATACATGGAATGTACTTGAATCATCTTGAAACCAATCCCCACACTCCGCCCCCGTTCATGGAAAAATTGTCTTCCAGGAAAACTGTCCCTGTTGCCTAAAAGGTTGGGTATTTAAGAGACATGTAAGTTAGACTGTGAGGGAACACATACAGGGAGAAGAGTCCCTAAAGGTCACTGCAGGCTCATACGCCCACTCTGCAGCTAGTGTACTTTTTAATGTCATTTTACTTAATAACCTTTCAAATAGAATGGTGAAGCCATGTGTTTAGGAAAGGCATGTGTTTCTACAGAAGCAGTGAAAGAATACCCATGAAGGGAGTTCATCTAACTTTCCAGAAGTCAAAAAAAAAAAAGCAATTGTAAACCCCAAATTAGAATCAGGTCAATCCAATTCCATAAGTGGCTCCTTCCAAAAATTCACCAGACATGGACCAACCACACCGAAGGTACCCAAGCCTCTAGCATGATTGAGCAAAATTTAGGGGATGGTCACCGGTCTTGTATATAAGCTTCTCAATTCCACAGAAATGAACGGAGTACTGGCTCTACACAGCAAACAAAAGGTATGCACAGATTTTTGGTTGTCATAATTGCATGTATTTCAATATATTAAAACCCGGAGAGTAATGCTGACTAACAATGAAAGTGAATCAGTGATCTAATGAAGGACATAAAGAGGTAACATTCTTTAAACATAATATAGCTTCATACATAAAATTATTCACAAAGAATAGTTTTATTTTAGCTCACATAAATGCTGTGATTCATAAGCAGAATCCAAAGTAACAAAAAAATACCAGAATATGTGTGTATAGATAGATAGAGAGAGAGAAATATGTTTGACATAAATACTAGGCATGAACATTATGAGCATTGTCCCTATAGTGTTTCATCTGATCATTGTATCATTTCTACAAGATTAGTACAATTTTTCTCTCAATTTTACAAAACAGACAATTGAGCAAGAGCATTTAGGTAACTTTCTCAAAGTCACACAAATAATAAGTGTGTTTGAATCTATACAGACTTAAGGTGTGTGTATAATTATTATTAATGACTGACGTATAAGTTTTCTATAAAAATGAGAAATGAGAGACCATTCCAAAAATAGCATGAAGTGCTATACAAGACAAATACTACTTTCTATGTGTTCCACTCAAGATGTTTTTCTTGTTAGAGAAAAAAATTTTTCACTAATTTCATGATGTTCCTTGCTTGTGGATGAGTCAATTTTCTGATTTCTTTTCTTAACTAACAAGTTTGTCTACATTCATATCTGATTTAAATCAGTAGTTACAGTTTATTTAGATTGCAAGAGCCTATTTTGATCATCAGTTGTTTCAATTCTATCTTGTTAGTCAAGCTCAGTGTTTTTTAATAAGTGATGTATACAAAGATCTTGGTTTTCTCCTACTGATCTGGATTAATTACTACCTTTGTCTTATTATTCTGGAGCTACACATTGGCAGCCATGACAGCTGGATACACATGATAGGTAAGTTGCATAGAATGGATGAGAATAAAAGGAAGAGAAATAAAAATAAAATACAAGACAGCCTCAAAATGCGAACTTCCTTACTTAAGGAAGAAAACTGCTAAAGGAAGTGAGGTGGTATGATAGGGGTGAAAGTACTGTTGCAAAGTAACAGAAAGTTTGGAAGAATGTGTAGAGTTTTATATCTCTATGATATATGCAAGAGAGGGCATACATAAGCTTGTGTGTAAATAAAGATACTCAGAGTTGAATTTTGTGGCATGTGTATTATATTCCAATACAAAAGATTTTTGAAATGTGCTTTTACAGAAATGAAAGAGGTTGTTTACTACAGTTTTGCCCCATCCTGTAATCAAGATATTTTTCCCCTGATTCAAGTGGCACAGCCTGAGAATGGGTAGAAATAGCTAATGTCTCAATAAAGTAAATGAAGATGTTTTTAAATGACTAATCTTAACTCTGGTTGACTTTAAGAATCATTAGGCATCTAGCATCTTCTGTTGTTTCCCCAACACCATCTTAATATTATGGAAAATAGAAGTAGAGAGGAGGGTAGGAGGGAGTCTCAAGAGGGAGGGGAATATATGTATATATTTGGATGATTCATGATATTGTACAGCAGAAACTAACATAACATTGTACTCCAATTATATTTCAATTAAAACAAAAGAACTAGAAGTAGAGAAAGTCTGAAGGTGGCTTAAGGATGCATAATGAGATCAAAAAAGAGCTTTTAAAGAAGTATAAAGATTGACTGAACCTAACAAAGCTATATTTTAGTGCCTGAAATTTGAACAAACAATTGACAACAACAAGGCACAAAAACAGAACAAAACAAAACCCCACCATGCACAACATTTCATGGTTTATGTTAGACAAAATGAGTGAATTGTGTGCCAAAGGACTGGAATAGGCAATCTATAAAACTTCCAAGATAAAGACAGTGAAAGGAAAAAAGTAAAAGTTTGATATGAATTGCAGATAGCAATTGAAACCACTGATATAAATTCCAATGCTGGCTACTCGATAACTCTCTTAATAAATAAATCTGATCATCTTAAAAGTTAGACTTCAGCAGTCACTTAACAAAACTTGTCTAATGTGATATTCCCAACTGCAACATTCCTAGCAGTCTGTACTAGAAGATCTTCAGTGATGACAATACTTCTGCCTTTCAAGGCTATCTATCTCAATTTAGACAAATTTTAACTAGAAGTGTCTTTCTCTAGTGAATGGATATAATGTCACTAATGATTAATTTAAAAATGGTTAAAGTGCTTACACATATGCATAGAGTAACCTTAGATCTCCAAAAGAGTTTCCAGCAGTCCCTCATGGAATGTTCTCTAAACTATGAACTAGAAGAAAATAAATTCAAATGAGAATACAAAAGAAGTGGGACAGGAAAACAGCTCCGGAGCAAAAGGACAAAAAACATTGAGTGTACATAAGTGCTTTTTATAATTTTAAAGTGACCTTAGAGGACCTTAAATATTATCTCTCTGAGCATTTGTTTCTGCATTTATAAAATGAAGATAATTAATCCTGTGTTATAGCTATTGTTATAAGGAATAAATAGGACAGAATCTATGAAGAACATTTAATTCATTGCCAGATAAATATTGAATTCATGGTAAAGGGTAACTACACACATATACACACACCTGTGTTTTGGAGTGTGCATGTGAATGGACAGATGGATGGATAGATGGGTGTATACATGACAGATAGAAAGGTACAAATAGATTACAGTAATAAATGCAAAAATTGAGAATCAGAAGCTTATATCTACCTTCACATCATTAGAGATTACCTTTCACCACTGGTAACCAATAGTGTGTTCCCTATCTGTGAATCTGCTTCTTCTTTTTTCAAATTAATTAATTTATTTGTCTGCATCGGGTCTTAGTTGCAGCATGCAGAATCTTGTTATCTTTTGTACAATCTTTGTAGTACACAAATTGTCTAGTTGTGGAGTGTGAGCTTAGTTGCTCTGTGGCATGTGAGGTCTTAGCTCCCTGACCAGGAATCAAATCCACGTCCCCTGCATTCAAGGCGATTCTTAACCACTGGGCCACCAGGGAAATCCTTGTGTCTTTTTTGGTGTCAAGATCCAGAAGACCCTGAGGTTGTTGCCTGCCCTCTATTGGGTAAAGCCAGGTCCTGGGGTTAGTGCAGAACTACCTGCAGGTGGAGCAGCCCTGGAGTCTGGTTGCAGGGTCCCAGATCTGCTGTCAGGCTGCTGGGGAGCGGGTGCTGGTTCCTGTCATGGTTGGGTACATGGTCTGGCCTGGGGTGTCCTAAAGCTTGTGTTGGCCTGCTAGTGGTCAGGGCTGAGGTTCAGCTGATCCTAGGGCATGGTCTGGTCTGCTGTGGACAGGCTGGTTTTACAGGCTGTCTGACTGTGGTTTTCTCACCTCCGGTGTTTGCCCCCTCGTGGGTAAGGCTGACTCAGAACCCAGAATAGGCTCCTTGGAGAGCAAGATCACTGGTAGGTGAAATTGGGTCCTGGCGCCCTCCTGTGGGCAAAGCCAACCATGGCCATAGGCTACTGTGGGCTCAGAAGAACTTTATGCAGCCTATTGCCCGGCTTCTTGTGGGCGGGGCTAGGTGGCCCCACCCAGCAAGGGGCATGACCTGAAGCCTGCCATTACTGGCATCTACTTTCTGTGGAGCAGGGCCAGGTCTTGGTGCCAAAGAGCTAGAGGGAAGATTCCAGGATGACTTCGTCCTACACCAGCGTTTACCTGCTAAAAGAAGCTCCCAGTGTGGAAGCCAGTGGCTTCCACCAGTGTCCATGTCTCCAAGGAGAGATGCAGGCCCTCCCAGACTCTACAGGAGATGCTCCAAGACAAGACGGTGGGTCTGGCCCAGGGTCCTATCAAATTTCTGCTTTTCCTCTGGGTCCTGAAGTGTGCGAGATTGTGTGTGTGCCCTTTAAGAGTGACGGCTCTATTTCCCCAGTCCTGTGAGACTCCTAAAATTAAACCCCGCTGAACTTGAGAGCCAAATATTCTGTGTGCCCATCTTCCAGGTGCAGGATCCCTGGGCTGAGGGCCTTGAGGAGGCTGAGGGACTCTCAGTTCTGTGGGAGAACCTCTACAATATAATTACTCTCCAGTTTGTGAATCACCCGCACGGGGCAAACAGGACTTGACTAAACTGTGAGTTCACCCCTCTTACCCATCTCTTTATGGTTCTTTCTTTATATCCTAGTTATAGAAGATGTTTTCTGGTAGGTTTCAGTCTTTTTCATTTATGGTTGTTCAGCAGGTAGCTGTGATTTTGATGTGCCTGTGAGTGGTGGTGACCTCAAGGTGTTCCTACTCTGCCATCTTAACCCATCTCTCTTTTATATGTTAAATTTATGCAGCATTTTTATGACGTTCAATAATGAAATGTTATAGATTTAGGATTAAGAACAAGAAAAGGTGCTCACTCCTTGGTACCCTTCAACCTAGCAGAGCTCTAGCTTTTGTCAGTGATACAAGAAAATTAAAGGAAATAAAAGTTGATTCTGTTGGTGTTTCTTTTTATGTAATCATACTGTCTGAAATCATTGCAGATACATCTCTTCCATTAAAATCCTTTTCCCTTTTATTGTGATCATGAAACTGAAGGAAACCAGAATATTTCATCTCAAAATTTGCCTTTTGATATAAAAATGACTTTGAGTTGGAGGCACGTAGAAACCAGTAAACAGCAAGGGAAATTAATTGTGCCTGCCCTTGTTTCTGCCCAAAGACAGGATACAAATTCTCTCACTTATTCTATTAATTTCTCCCCACATATTTGCCTTCTCACAGTTGGCCACTCTTGAAAGTCAAAAACTGCTTTTTCTGTCCTCTCATTTTTCTAGAAATGTATTGTCCTTTGTGGAAGATGCTCTGTTAACTGGGGTTCTAAGCTATTGCTTTAAATTACTCTTCATGTAAGTTTTTCCCAAGTGGTGTGCATCACAGTCATTAATAAACTGTTTTTCTCTTATTAATCTTTTTGTTAAAAAAAAAGCCAGCTGAAAACCCAAGATGGGTATAGTTAAAGTTTTGCCTCCCCTACAAAACCTAAAACCTTCATTTTCAATCACTAGGTCTGTGGTACCACTCTTAAAAAAGACAGAGTGTGTGACATATTTTTTATTTTTTCTTCAAATTTTTTTTCTGATATTAAATGTGTGTGTGCATGTGTGTACACAGTCTTCCCAGATTGTTTTTACATCTGCTAATGATATGACAGAGGATGAAATGGTTGGATGGAGTCACCGACTCAAGGGACATGAGTGTGAGCAAGCTCTGGGGGTTGTTGGTGGATGGACAGGGAAGCCTGGCGTGCTGCAGCCCATGGGGTCACAAAGAGTCAGACCCGACCAAACGACTGCACTAAATAATGTGTCAGGCATGGGGATCTTAGTCATTAATAGAATTATTACTGTTTGTTCCTAATGTCCTAACATTTCCAAAAGTGCTAAATTCCTCTCCTTTCTAATTCATTCTGCTCAGTACATATTACTGCTTTTAGCTTAACATGCTTTTGCTCAAAGACATTAAACTTCTGCCCTCTATTGTTCACCAAATAAAAAAAAAAATTATCTTACATTTCAATTCTTCTGTCATACATACTTATGACTTTCTTTTCTTCCCTATCTTTGTTTTGGTTGATTCATATTTCTTTCGTAGCCATTTGTCTGATTATAGCCCTTTTGTTGACTCTAATCCTATCTTGATTCTAATCTCTTATTCACACTATTTCCACTTTAGGGATAACCTTGTTTTTCTTTCTTCCTTCCATCAAGTCTAAGTAATCTCCTCACCCCCCCCCCCCCACTGCCAATCTGAGCAGTTATAGCAGTCACTGGCACTTATCTTCCTTGTATTAGTACTTTGTAAGGCCAGTATATCTTTTATTACTTTAGGATGTAGATGTGTTTAGTGAGAGTTTCTTGATTGATTATTATGGCAGAGGAATAAATGAATAATCAGTTCCCAGTCAGAATTTTCTCTGAAAATTTTATAATAAATTTTTTTATTTTACAGCTTGCAAGTTGAAAAAAGACTGGTGGAAGATTTTTTCTATATTTGTCCTAGTTCAGGTAGGTGACTTGTGAATTTTCTTTGGTTCTTTATGCAGCAGGCTATGCATTTATACCTCAAGTGTAGCCCCAAATCTCTCAACTCTGCAGTAATAAAAGGACTGTAGAGACTTGACCTCAGGTTCCTACTAGCTTCGCAGCTTTTGCCACCTTCCTTGGGGCTTTCCGGTAGTTCAGCTGTAAAGAATCTGCCTACAATGTGGGAGATGCAGGTTTGATCCCTGGGTGGGGAAGATCCCTTGGAGGAGGACATGGCAGCCCACTCCAGTATTCTTGCCGGGAAAATCCCATGAACAGAGAAAGCTGACTATGTATAGTTCTTTGGGGTCACAAAGAGTCAGACATGACTGAGGTGACCGAATACGCATATACCACCTTCCTTGCCTCTCTTAAAAATACTCTCAGAACTTAGTCATCTTCTTGACTTTGTAAGAGTTCTTGATCTTTGAATAAAATAATCATAAGTTCTCAGATAACTGTCAGACAGCAACAGCAATAACTGTTTAATTGAGAGTATTTTGTGTGAACTAAAGAGCTAATGTTAAGTATACTAAATTTATTATTATTTTTTTATATTTAATTCACACAAGACTATGAAATAGTTATGAAATCCATTCACACCCAAAGAAATAGCAACCAGAGTGAATTAATCACTTTTTACAAATAATAAATTCCAGGGCCAACCAGAATTGAAATTCTTTTCTGTTGGATAAATTCCAGTTCTCTAGTTTCTGATATTTTAACTACCATACAACACTGTCACCATAATTGCAGTCTTTCTTTCATTTCTTTTGGATCAAAAGTGAGTTATATTACTAATAGTTGCTCTATGAAATACTTGCTTATTATGTTAAAAGCAAAAAAGGAAAATATGGAACTAGGTATTTACTTCAGGATTTTCTCTGTTGGAGTAAATTTGCAAAGATAAAGATGTTTAAATTTTTTTCTGGATATTGTCGGTCTATTTTGTGAAAAATATCCAAAGGTAGATTTTAATTTCTGACTTGTGGCCTACTAGTCTCCAGAACTTGATTTTCCATCTGCAAGTTTTGCTAAATTTAGCTCTGAAATTAAATTAACACAACATTCTTGAGTCTCATTTTCTTTCTTTCTTTTTGTCATTCACAAAAGTACTGATATTATTCCTGCTTATAGCCTCTTCTGTCACTATAAAAGTTCTGAGAGTGCAATACTAATTCTATTTAAACATCCAAAAATTAAATATTTAGAGGGAAGAGTTTCTCTAAGACATATTTACGTTCATTTATTCACTACAAAGGTAAAATTGAAACGATGTATTTTATTACCTGTTTGTGGTAGTCTGGATACAATTCTGAGTATTACAGAAGAGAAAAAGTCAGGAGTTTGGAGTTGGCTCTACATTTAAACGTTTACTTGACACTGTACCCATTAATTAGCTTTAAACATTTGGAGGGCCAGGACTTTATCTAACCTAATTACTCAGCACCTCACTAAAATCTGGAAACAGTAAATTCTCAAAACAACATACAGAGAAATAAAGTCATCATTATTCCAGCTTCTTTGGCACTAAATATTGGTGACATAGAACCAATATTTGATTAATTCAGATTTCAATGATTCACTGTCCTTTATGGTGAATTTCACTTCCTTAGCTCATATGTCCTCTCTGCTGTTAACCTTTCATTTCTTTGAGGTAAAAGTAAGCCTTTATTTCTTACATTGGTCCTTAACACTATTTATATTTATGTCTCTTCCTTGGTTGCTAAATCTACTGCATAATTTTTGGTGGAATGTCAATATAGACTATGAGAGATTTGCCATTCCGCTTCTCAAAATATAAGCCAGGAAAATAGAATAAAGTCTAGACTTCTCAACCACTAAATGGTCTTTCTTATGGACAACAGAGGAATTGAATTCATCCATCATTCCGTGAGTGAAGTTAGTTGTCAGGTTTCAAACCATGGCAGTAAAAAATAAAATTGATACACCAGAATAACTGCTTTTATTCATTTCTTTTTTTTTTTTTTCAGTATTATATTTGAGTCGTTCAGAAAGTACCAAAGCTATGGAATGTTCAGAGGAGTGGATTGGAGTAAGAAGGAAGTGCTTCTATTTTTCTAATGATACCAGAAATTGGACAGCCAGTAAAAGATTTTGCAGTTCTCAGGGATCAGAACTTGCTCAGATTGATACACCAGAGGAGATGGTAAGAAAAGGAAAAAGTTTTCAATTATTTCAAAGCTTAATTTTGTACAAAGAGAGGATAAAAGTGATAAAAGCTAATACTCCATGATTATGTCAAAAAATTCCTCTACCCTTCTATGTTCTTCTGGCTGATCTAAGAATTAAACTGACATGAGACAGATTAACAGGAGAAAACCAAATTAATTATATACATATGAGGGCTTTATAAGAAAATGACTCCCAAGGACAAGTTAGGCAATTGGAAGAAAGGGGGAAGGGTTTGGAACATCAAAGTGAAAGAAAGAAATTCACATGAGATGGAAATATAAATTATTTATTTTTAATGAGCTTTTATTGGAGTATAATTGCTTTATAATGTTGTGTTAGTTTCTGCAGTACAGGAAATTGAATCAGCTATATGTATACATATATCCCCTCTTTTTAAAAAATTTTCTTCCCTTTTAGGTCACCACAGAGCACTGATTCTGAGGTTCACATAAGATATCTATTATATATATATTACCAAAAATGTGTATATGTCAATCCTGATTTTCCAATTCATCCCTCCTCTCCTCTTCCCACCTTGGTATCTATATGTTTGATCTCTATGTTGAAAGGCAAATGTTTGGTGGAGACGTTTGTTTATTTATGAGGAAAAGCTATAAGTTTGTGATTCAGTAACAAGGAATCTGAAGTAGGCAATGGCAACCCACTCTAGCACTCTTGCCTGGAGAATCCCACGGACAGAGGAGCCTGGTAGGCTGCAGTCGATGGGGTTGCTAGGGGTCGGACATGACTGAGCAGCTTCACTTTCACTTTTCACTTTCATGCATTGGAGAAGGAAATGGCAACCCACTCCAGTGTTCTTGCCTGGAGAATCCCAGGGACAGAGGAGCCTGTTGGGCTGCCATCTATGGGGTCACACAGAGTCAGACACGACTGATGTGACTTAGCAGCAGTAGCAGCAGCAAGGAATCAGTAGGAGAGACTGGAATGATGGCAGTCAATATATTTTATTAGAAGAAATCATATTCTCCCAGAAATTAGATTTCTGATTAAAGGAGACAATGTGCAATAGAAATTACATTGTCTCTTCTAGTTTTATTGAGATATAATTGAATAAGTTTAAGGCATAGAGCATAATGATTTGACTTACATACATCCATCATGAAATGATTATCACAGTAAATTTAGTGAACATCCATCATCTCCTGTAGATACAAAATTGAAAAAATAGAAAGTAATTTTTTTTTCTTGTGATGAGAACTCTGAGCATCTCTCTCTTAACAAATTCTATACATGAAATATAAGTAATTTGTGTGTATCATGTTGTATGTGACATTCCTAGCATTTACTTGTATCTGGAAGTTTTTACCTTTTGACCACCTTCACCCAGTACCCCCTCCTCCCACCCCACCTCTAGTAACCACAAATCCCATATCTTTTTCTATGAGTTTTTTTAATTTGTCTTTGAACTTTAATTGACCTGTAACATATGTTAGTTCCTGTTACACAAAATAGTGATTTGATATTTCAATATTTTTCAAAATGACCACCAGGATAATTCTAGTTATGATATGTCACCACACAATATATATCACCAGATGATATCAAGTAGTTATATTCCCCACTTTGTACATTTCATACCTATGACTCATTATTTTGCAACTGGAAGTTCAAAGCTCTTTCAACTATTTCTTTCCTCTCCCCATCCATCTCTCCACTGGTAACCACCTATTTGTTCTCTGTATCTGAGACTCTGTTTCTGTCTTCTTGTGTTTGATCATTTGTTTTATTTTTTAGATTCCACATATAAGTGAAATCATACAGCAATGACATTATTATTCTGGTATCTGTTGTTGTTCAGTCACTAAGTTGTGTCTGACTTTTGCAACTCCATGGACTATAGCACACCAGCCTCCTCTGTCCTCCACTATCTCTCAGAGTTTGCTCGAATTCATGTCCATTGAGTGGATGATGTAATCTCAAAACCTCATCCTCTGCTGCCCCCTTTTCTTTTGCCTTCAAACTTTCCCAGCATCAGAGTCTTTTCCAATGAGTTAGCTCTTCTCATCAAGTGGCCAAAGTATTGGAGCTTCAGCTTCAGCAACAGTATCCACTGGTATGTATTCAAAGTAGTTTCTGAGTTTTCCTATTTTAACAGTACTTATACTTTCCTTCAAACACTCTGACCCCTATATAGTTTGGGAGAGAAGATCTGTGCACAGAATAAGATATAAGTGTTAGTTCTCTATCACCCTTAAGAAACATGATATGCCTGTTCCTATAAAAATGCTCAGCTCCTGAATTTGTCAACCAGACATAACATCCTGTCAGTTTAGAGTCTTTGTCCTTTACTCTGTGAGAAACATACTGGTGTTTTATGCAGTAGAATGTGTAGGAAAGGAAGTCAAATATGATTTTTTTCATCAGTTTCTCATTTGAGAGATAGAAGTTACCCTTAATGGTAATTCAAGACATATAGCTCAAAGAGCTTTGATGACTTGTTAGAAGTCACTCTACTACTTAGATATATTTAAGAAGTAAGAGCAAAGTGAAAATTATTCTGATAAAGCTAACCTGAACATCACCATCTGTGTTGTTTGTTGCTATGGAAGCATTAGAGCACACAAATTAGGATGTAAATCATAAAGATGGGATGTTCCAGTGAGAAGTATGTCAGCTATATGGTCTAAAATATTGAGTAATGGAGAATTCTCTGATTTGTGTGAAAGAAATTTTTGAAGAAGCATGCAGGAACTTCTATGTACTGGATTGGATTAAGCAGAAAACTAGGAGAGTCTTGGAAATGGACAAATGGCACTACATTCAATGCTGGGTGAGTTTCAAATTTACTAGGAAAGGTTCTGTTCTGTGTTGTATAAAAACTTTAAATCAGTTTGAGTTGCATTATTGTAAATAAGTCTCCCTGTTTTCTATGTGTAATTGTCTTTCTCAGTTTCTACCCTGTGACATGTATCTTCTCAGATTGAAACATACCCTAGAACAACCCACCTTCCTTCTATTTTGTTATATGGCATGCAATGAAATTTTCCATTTTTATTTTTGTTCCTTATTTCATTTTATTTTTATTGTCAGGTTCTTGCTAATAAACCCTCCTATTGCTAACTCAAATTCAACTATTCTGCAAATTCAAAGCACGTTTATTACTTGTACTTTTAAAATTTTTGTAAGATCTCTTTTTTTTCTTTAAAGTATTAGAGACAATATGGAAATAACCATATTTCCAAGTTAAAAGTCTTTAACTTTCCAAGATTTCTGGGAGGAATATCAACAACCTCAGAAAGGTGGATGATACCACTTTAATGGCAGAAAGCAAAGAACTAAAGAACCTTCTTGAGGGTGAAGAAGGAGAGTGAAAAAGCTGGCTTAAAACTCAGTATTAAAAAAAAAAAACTAAGATCATGACATCTGGTCCCATCACTTCATGGCAAATAGAAGGGGAAAAGGTGGGAGCAGTGACAGATTTCCTCTTCTTGGGCTCTAAAATCACAGTGGATGGTGACTGCAGCCATGAAATTAGAAGACGATTACCTTGGCAGGAAAACTATGACAAATCTAGACAGTATGTTAAAAAGAGAAGACATCACTTTGCTGACAAAGATCTGTATAGTAAAGGCTATGATCTTTCCAGTAGACATGTATGGACATGAGAACTGGACCATAAAGAAGGCAGAGCATGGAATTGATGCTTTCGAACTGTGGTGCTGGAGAAAACTCTTGAGAGTCCCTTGGACAACAAGGATATCAAACCAGTCAGTCTTAAAGGAAATCAACCATGAATACTCATTGGAAAGACTGATGCTGGAGCTGAAGCTCCAGTAGTTTGGCCACCTGATATGAACAGCCAACTCATTGCAAATAATTTTTATCAACTTGCTCTGTTGATGATCAATCTTTTTCTTTTTATGCAATGAGTATAATCTCTCTTGTCTTCCCGTATTTCTAAATTGGTTCCCATTTTTCCATCTAGCAATTAATAATATTAAGGCAAGAAGACATGGATACAAAGTCAGGAAACAACATTCCCTCAAGAAATAGTTATATAAATAAATAATATTGCTTTTGTTGTTGTCTTTCAGTTGCCAAGTCATGTCTGACTCTTCTCGACCCCATGGACTGAGGCACGCCAGGCTTCCCTGTCCCCCACCATCTCCTGGAGTTTGCCCAAGCTCATGTCCATTGAATTGTTGATACAAATTGATAAAAATTATTATAATTAGTCTCCTTGGTTTCCATATCAATATATTTCAAAAGTGCCAAATGAATATAAATCTTGTTTCTTACTTTCAAAACTAAACATTGGCTAAAAATATACCAGGTGATATGCTAGGGAACTGCTTTAAAAAAATTCCATATTTCACTCGATTTAGAAGCACTTTCTCTCGAAAGAAATATATATAGTTAGATAAATGGAGATAGATATTAGCTCTTATTTATATCTATTATTTCTCTTTGTCTATTTATATCTCTTTCTACCTGTTGCCCTAAATAAGTTGACAGATTATGCTAATAATAATAGTAATATTAAATACCTACATTGCTTTAAAAAAACAGATATTTGAGGGGTAGAGTATTGTGATAGGTGAGTATGAAGCTCAGTGTTTTGTATAAAATGTTTCAAATTGCTCTATTCTTAATTTTATTTTTGATTAAAACTGAAAGTGGTCCCAAACTGATTTTTATTGTTTCTTTTCAGGTTTGAAATCAGTGGGAATGGACCCTTTGCCTTTTTGAATTCTGATGGAGTCCACAGTTCCAGAGGATTTGTTGATATCAAGTGGATTTGCAGCAAACCAATATCTAAAACAGAATAAATTAGGGAATCAATAAAGAATTTTGCAAGTTTTTTTTTAAATTGAAGTATAGTTGATTTACAAATGTTAGTTTCTGGCATACAGTAGAATTTTGCAAGAATTAAGGAACTAAAATTGTTGAATGAATGATTATATATAGAATCTTATTAATTCAAGGCACATTATTGCTCATCATGAGCACAAATCAGGAAACTTCTGTTAAATAGGACCAAAGTTATAGTATACAATGAGATGACATTTATTGCATTAGTAGTTACGATAAACAAATTTAAGGGGATTTATATTAATAGGTCAGTCAAGACCTACTGCTTAGTAGGTCTGCTTAAAAGTTAGAGAAATATATGGGCTTAATATGTGTAAATATTACAAGCCACTAACCATAGCACCTTTGGTTTAAAGAAATGTTACAAGAGAATCACCTATGAACAAACATGTACTTAAATAATATCTTACAAATAAGGGAAAAATATTTAGGAAGGACCCTAACACTAAAAGTAATAAACACAGATACATTATCAAAGTTCTATATTAAAATCACAAAGCTCAGATTATAGAATATAAACTAGAAAAATAACATTAAAAGTGAATAGAGAATAGATTATTGAAAAATATTTCCCTTTTCCAAGTAAGAACCAGGAAATAGGATGGGCTTAAGATGCAACCCTGGATGTGTCATAAAATTCAAACTCTGTAGGGTGTGGAGAAAATTATATCAAGCCCTTCTTTGTTACATTAGTTTGCCTAGGCAACTGTAACCTCTCAGTACAAGAAGGAATGAGAGTTTAGGAGAATACATAGACACATAGGATGGAGAAGCTGGAGAAAAAAAAAAGTATCTAGGTTACAGGATAAACATACAGAAACACACAGACCAGTCTTTCTCCCATATCTTTAATGGAGGCTCACTCCTAAATTAGTTGCAGATGAAACTTTCTGATAAATGAAAAGGAGATTCTTGTGAGTCCCACCTGTAAATGTTGTTCTTGGTACTATATGTGAATGCAAATACTTGGCAAATATCAGCATGTAAGCAAGCACAGGCATATTATATCTATTCATCATTTGTCATCAAGAAACTTGAAAATATGAAATTTAGTATCACTTATGTATTACATTTTGGCTCAGATTAAGTTCAAATTTTGCTTCATTCATAATGTGTTTTATTTTTGCTGTTGGTTCATGATTACAAATTAATTTCAACTGCTTCATTATTTAAAGTAATTCACTCCTTGTTTTTCTTTAAGTCACACCTATCAGGGTGAATCAACTCCTGATGACTCATCATGAACTACAGAGAACTTTTTGATGATATTATGTCATATCTCCTCACTTACTTAGGGGACACAAACTGTTGAATTTATTTTGAAATATGAGTGCCTTTTGAATAAATGAGAAAAAAATAAGGTACTTTGTATAAAATTTCAGTTAGAAAACTAAGGGAGTGAGACAGTTCTCAATATAACAATGTTTAAAAGCAAATTTGGTTAAAGGGAAATCAATTGTAGAATCAGATTAAATACAAGATTGTATATTACTTTAAAAAGACATTCATAATTACAGTGCCTGAGTACTTTATTACCAGTTGAAAGTTTGATTTCTTTTTGATAAAAACAAAGTAATTAAGGACAAAGCCCACCATGAAGAAAAAAAATGTTGTATAACCATATATATGCACAGTCTATTATTTCACCAAATGCACAGGAAGAGTTAGAACCCAAGGAATAGAGAAAAAGCAGGATTAGAAGATTAAATTTCATATTTTTTAGACACTGCAGCAACAAAAGTAAATAAGAATGCCGAACACTGAAGTCAGATATCAACATTCTTTCCCAACCAAAACACATTTTGTTTTGTGTTAGGAAATTGTCAAACATATTTAAAAGTAGAGAAAATAATATAGTGAGTCGCATGTACTCATTATTCAGTTTTAACAGCTATTAACTCATTGTCAATCTTGTAACCAGTCAATCTTAAAGGAAATCAACCCTGAATACTCATTGGAAGAACTGATGCTGAAGCTGAAGCTCCAATACTTTGGTCACGTGATGCGAACAACTGACTCATTGAAAAAGACCCTGATTCCAGGAGAGATTGAAGGCAAAAGTAGAAGAGCATGTCAGAGGATGTGATGGCTGGATGGCATCACTGATGCAATGGGCATGAACTTGGGGGAACTCCAGGAGATGGTGAGGGACAGGGAGACCTGTCATGCTGCTGTCCACGGGGTCAGGAAGAGTCAGACACGACTGGGTGACTGAACAACAACAATCTTGTATCATTTATAATTTAAGCAAATTCTAGACATCATGTGAATGTTTCCCTATCTGTCTATACAACATAACCACAATACAATTATCACATCTAAAAGTAATTAATAATAATCTCCAATAACATTATAAAAAATAGGGAATTATGTTTTCTAGTTTAAAAATAAGTTATTACATTTTCTAATTTTGGAGTGTTGTATCTGTACAGAATACGTGAAAATTTTTTATTTGTATTAAGAAATAGGTTTGCATTTCAAAAACAGATAGGAACTGTTAACATCCATATATTTCTCTTCCAATTATTTAAATGCAGAGATTTGCTTTCGTTGTTCAGACAGCATCTCTCTGGCAAATGCCCTTAAATTTGGAGTCACAGTCTTCAGAATACACCTGATTTCTTGTTATGACAGCACAGCTCATGTTATCAATGGGTCCAATCACCGAGAAACTAGAAGATACAAGGCAGACTTTAGAGCATTTATCTTAAAATAATGATTATACTTCTTAAAGTTTCCCCCAGCCAACTTATGCAGGTAATTTTTTTTTCCCAGCAGTCAAAATGTTGCAGAGATTTTGGAATAGACTCTTCTTTTGTTGCCAGGGACAACAAAAGATTTTAGAATAACAACAACAGATTTGTCATGACAAATCTGTTATTATAACAACAATAACAACAAAAGATTTTAGAAGAGACTTTCTTGTTGCCAGTGAGGCACTCTTGATTTGCTTATGCTCCATGCCCTCCCTTCTCAGATGGCTCTTTTCTGAGTATCAATACTGTGGGAGTGCAAGTCTGAAGATTAGGAGCATTCCTGACTGCTCCTGCCCTCTCAACCCTCGAATTACATGTATCAGCAAGTCCTGGGCATCCCATCTCAAGATTAGCTCTGACATCCATTTACCTCTCTCCCAAGCTACTGTTACCTCTCTTTCTCCCTGGTCATAGCCTTGTGATTGAAAATCCATTTCCGTGTCACTTTCCATCTGCTCATTTTTCACATAGCAGCATAAATAATGTCCTTTCAAGATAGCTAAATGCTCAACTGAAAGTTTTGATAAAGGTTACGTGGTGACAGATACTCTACATACCAGTGGGAGTTTCGGGAGTTTCGAAGTTGGAAACTAGGGATGTTTTTAAGTTAAAACTGCTTGCTGCTGCTAAGTCTCTTCAGTCGGGTCTGACTCTTCGCGACCCCATGGACTGTAGCCTACCAGGCTCCTCCATCCATGGGATTTTCCAGGCAAGAGTACTGGAGTGGGGTGCCATTTCCTTCTCCAAAACAATTGCTAAATCTTCAGTTAACTTCAGTGGTATGATAGGGTTAGGAATAGGTGTGAATAGAATAATTTTTGAGACAGCTATTTCCTTAGGTATTTTTTCTAGTCCTTGATTGTGTGTTTGTTAGTCACTCAGTCATGTCCAACTCTTTGCAACCCCATGGACTGTAGCCCGCCAGGCTCCTCTGTCCATGGGATTCTCCAGGCAAGAATACTGGAGTGGGTTGCCCTTCCCTTCCCCAGAGGATCTTCCTGACGCAGGGATTGATCTGGCATCTCCTGCAACTCCTGCATTGGCACATGGATTCTTTACCACTGAGACATCTGAGAAGCCCCATCTGCATATCATTTTTCCTTAAATAATTAAATGAAAGCTTTTAAAATGAGATATGTTACTCAGCTATCTACTCTCCTTCTACAATAAACTTCTCTTTTGGCTACAGGATTAAAAAAGAGAGAGAGGGAGACGCTGCCGTAACAATATTCTGTTTTCCAAATAAAAGAACAAAAAAAATGCCTAGTTATTTCTAACTAAATTTTGTCAAGTTTGCAATCAAAGCAGGTCCAAAGAATGAATACTACTTCATACTTTAATGTTTGTGAAAGACAAGAATGAGTGGAGAATATCAATATCTAGAACTGAGTAAATAGATTGAAATGAACTGACATTTCATGGTCATTGCCCCAAACTTGCCAAATCTCAGGTGCTCTAGCAGGTTAGAATGTTAAGAAAATCAAAGCACAGAGAATATGCAAACATCTGTGACACTTAAGAGTCTTAAAACCTTCTTACATGTATTATATTATAGTGTTCACACAAGAATATTGTGGGAAAAGCTTCATTTTTTCATACATGCAAAAAAAAATGAGATTGAAATAATTTTCTAAGGGCAAAATTGCAAATTTGCACTTTCTGATTTCAGCTCAAGAGATGTTTGTATATATTTCAGGTGTTTTTCATTTATAAGTGAAGTTTATCTTTGCATTTTGTATATGGAAAATATTTGCTTGGTAATATTTTAAGGGAGATTTCAATCAGTTTAACAATTTAAAAGTAACTATCATTTTTTGCAATTAATAATTTACAGGTTTCATAATGAACACTTTCTAGTCCCTTTGCATACTCAGTCACTCAGTCATCTCTGAATCCTTGCAGTCCCACAGACTAGCCCACCAAGCTCCTCTGTCCATCAGATTTTACCAGCAAGAATACTGGAGCAGGTTGCCACCTCCTCCCCAAGGGAGTCTTCCCAACCCAGAGTTTCCTGCTTTGGCAGGCTGATTCTTTACCACCGAGCCACCTGGAAATCCCCTCTATTCTCTCCAGTAAATGTTAAAAGGAGAAGGAGAGGAAGGAAAGAAGAGAGTAAATGAAGGAAGAAAAAAGATAAGAAAGAAAGAAAAAAGAAAAAAAAGGAGAGGAAATGTTTTTCAAAAGAAATGAGGAGAGAAAGA